TCATTTGTGTCCATTGTTAGGCCTGCGAAATTGGTTCAAGAAATTTGTCCCTGCTAATGGGTTATAAAGGACCTTTAAGGAAAACGATAAGCATGATGCCTTACTTCCGTTGTCAAGAATTAGGGCTAATGCATAGGCGGGCAAATACACAATTAATTGTTTTAGTTATTGTTTTAATTTCTTACCTTATTTTAGCCCATAATATTATATTAAAGAACTAATGTCATAAGACGGCATTTTGTAATGGACGAGTGCGACAAAATGTCTTATGACATGAGTTCTTTATGCTATTTTATCTATTTTGCAAAAATTCTATAAAAAAATTAATTTTATACCTTAAATTTAATTTGGTCGAATTTTACTTTAGACAGTTGGTATCACAGTCATTGGTTTGACAGTTAATGTCAAAATCGATTCGCAATGCCGTCCTTAATTTACTCAGTCATTATGAACGCAAAATAGATAAAAATGTATTATCGGTATATTAAAACCTATCAAGAACCAGTTAGATTCGTATAGTGTTTACCCCAGAGAAAAGTAACAAAACTAAATGAATCAAAGAAACTTTTTTAATTTCACTGTCAGTGAGCGTTTACCAAATATAACGTGTAAAAAATATCGATTTGCTCTTTTGGAGTTGCAGAATGTACGGAACTCATTTCTTAAGAAAAAAATAAATTGGTTCTAATTAATAATTTTTGTGTTATTTTGTAATTTAATAAATCATAATTAAAATTACTTTTCATGTTTAACTGAATAATAAATTGAGAATTAATCGGCAAAATGTCAAAATTCTCGACCAACTTAGATCAAAATAACGCGTTTCCATGAAAATAAACAACAACGTGCAGCTTAACAGACTTGATAAAAACATTGAAATTATTTTGTAGTATTTTAACATTCCTTTTAACCACGAGAGCAAATCAATTTTTTTTCGGCATACATACGCAGTTTTTACGTAAATTCGAATTTTGACAAACATATAACAAAATAACTATATTATAAAATTAACGGCATCAAAAGCTTGAACGCTTTACGAAAGTTGCTGTATACCTAACAGAGATTAATAACGCTTTGAGAGTTTTCCCAGATAATCATAAATACTCGTCCATATAAATTACCCATGGATGGTTGGGTAATCTTTAAAAATTTAAAATAAATTTCAAAAATTTTCTGACGTTGCTTTCTCAAGCTTAATTTTGATGTATTGTTTTTATCCTCATATTTCCCCTATACAGGGTGTTTACATTGGAATTTAATCCAAAATATTTTATAAGAATGGATAATGGATTTTAAACGCTTTTAAAATTTGAAATCGATATTTTTTTCTATCTCCCAGAAACTTACGAAACTAAAAACATTTTTTAATTAATAAAGCCCAATGATTTGCTGATTATTATAAATCCCAGACCAGCCAAAAAAAGTTAATAGAGGCACGCGACTTCATTTAAATTAATAAAGCTCAGAAGCACGTCCCTACATTCAAGTAAACTGTACAGTATAGTAGGTCTGTAATTTAATTTCGCGCCAAGTAATCTGCTCATTACAGTTTGGCGTGGCTCCAGCTAAGGCAGTTTCAAAAATGCTTTAACAAACTAAAAGCAGCACAAAAATTTAACGGGTATCGGTTATTATCGATACTCTGGTTTTATTGGTATCGTCTAGATATAATTTGATTAAAACTGCGGTATATCGAACAGCCAAAAGTTTTACTTTTGTTGTTAATGTACCACGAGCAGCCTTTTTTGGCAATTTTTTACATTTAAAATAGCTTTTAAAGGTTTGAAAAAGTTTTAACATATACATATTTTTTAAAAGTATTAATACCATTTTAGGAGTTTTAAAAAGTTTTAGAACAATTTTGGGACTTTTTTTTAAAGTCAATGCATTTTTAAGAGTTTTAAGAAAGTATTAACATATATAAAGTTTTAACACATAGATATATTTCAACAGTATTAATACTATTTGAGGAGAGTTTAAAAAAGTTTTAGGACACTTTTAAACAATTTTGGGACTTTTTTGACATTTAGACTTCTAAGCAAGTTTTAATACATGTATGTATATCTACAGTATATGTATAGATACTTTTTAACAGTATTAAATCATTTTGGGACTTTTGGACAGTTAAGGCAATTTTTAGTTCCAAAAAGTGTTAACATACATGTTAATAATATCCATACCTATAGTTTTAGATATTTTTAACAGTATAAATACCATTTAAGGAGAGTTTTAAAAGTTGTATACAACCTATAGGACTTTTTTGACAATTAAGACATTTTTTTAAAGTTCCAAGAAAATTTCAACACACATATTTTTTAGCAGTATTAATACTATTTTAGAAGATTTTTGAACAAGTTTGGGACGTTTTTGACATTTAAGACATTTTTTAGGGTTCTAAGCAAGTTTTATTACAGATATTTTTTAACAGTATTAATACTAATTGAGGAGAGTTTTAAAAAGTTTTAAGACATTTAAATAATTTTTGGGCGTTTTTGACAGGTAAGACATTTTTTTAAGTTACAATAAAGTTTTAACATGAGGACTTTTTGACAGCTAAGGCTTCCAAAAAAGTTTTAACATAGGTATAGATATTTTTAGTAGTAATAATACTATTTAAAGAGAGTTTTAAAAAAGTTGCAGAACATGTTTGAACAATTTTGGGACTTTTTTGTCATTTAAGCCATTTTAAGTTAAAAAAATTTAACATACATATTTTTTAACAGTATTAATACTATTTTAGGATTTTTAGAGTTTTTAAGTTTTAACACATTAATATTTTTAACAGTATTAAAACTATTTAAGAAGTTCTAGGACATTTTTGGACAATTTTTTTTGACAGTTATGACATTTTTAAAAGTTCCAAAATATTTTTTAACAGTATTAATACCATTTTAGGACGTTTTTGAACAATTTTGTGACTTTTTTGACATTTAAGACATTTTTTAGAGTTCTAAGCAAGTTTTAACACAGATATTTTTTATAGTATTAATACTATTTAAGGAGAGTTTTAAAAAGTTTTGGGACATTTTTGGACAATTTTGGGGCTTTTTTGACAGTTAAGACATTTTTTAAAGTTCCAGAAAAGTTGTGTGTATTTTTGACAGTATTAAACCATTTTGGGAGAATTGAAAAATTTTGGGACTTTTTGAGAGTTAATGCAACTTTTAGAGTTCCAAAAAATTTTAACATAGGTAATCATATTTTTAACAGTATCTATTATTACCATTTAAGGAGAGTTTAAAAAAAAATGTAGGGCATTTTTGAACAATTTTGGGACATTTAAGACATTTTTTTGGAGTTTGAAGAAAATTTTAACAGACATATTTTTGAACAGTATTAAACCATTTTAGAAGAGTTTGGGGAATTTTTGACAGTTATGGCATTTGTTCCAAAAAGTTTTAACATAGTAACAGTAATAATACTATTTAAGGAGAGTTTTAAAGAGGATGTAGAACATGTTTAAACAATTTTACGACTTTTTGACATTTAAGGCATTTTTAAGAATTTAAAAAAATTTAACACATATATTTTTTAACTGTATCAATACCATTTTAGGACATGTTTGAACAATTTTAAGACTTTTTTGACATGTAAGACATTTTTTACAGTTCTAAGCAAGTTTTAACACATAGGTATTTTTAACAGTATTAATACTATTTAAGGGAACTTTTTTGACAGTTCAGATATTTTTAACATAATAACAGTAATAATACTATTTGAGGAAAGTTTTAAAAAGTTTTAAGATATTTTTAGAACTATTTTGGGAATTTTTTTACTTTAAATTTTTAAAGTTCCAAGAAAATTTTAACATGTGGATATTTTGATAGTATTAAACCATTTTAGAAGAGCTTTAAAAAAGTTTTAACAGTACTATTAACAACATTTCGGGAGTTTTAAACATATTTTAAGTCATTTTCGAACAATTTTGGGACTTTCTTGACATTTGCGGCATTTTTAAGAGTTCCAAGAGAGTTTTAACATAGATATTTTTGAATAGTATTAATATCATTTTAGAAGAATTTTAAAAAAGTTTGAAGACATTTTTAAACAATTTTGGGACTTGTTTACATTTTAAACATATTTTAGAGTTCTAAGAAACTTTCAACACATAGATATTTTTTAACAGTACTAACACCATTTTAGGATGGTTTTTGAACAATTTTAAAACCATTTTGCCAGTTATGACATTTTTTAGTTTAAAGAAAATGTTAACAAAATTAATACCGTTTTAGGAGAGTTTTAAATGAGTTTGAATACATTTTTGGAACTGTTTAGACATATAAGACATTTATTAGAGTTTTAAGCAAGTTTTAAGACAGATATTTTTAACAGTATTAATACTATTTAGAGGACTTTTTGACAGTTAAGATATTTTTTAGAGTTCTAAGAAAGTTTTAGCAGTATTAATACCTTTTTAGAAAATAAGTTTTCAAACATTTTTAACCAATTTTGGGAGTTTTTTACCGTTAAGTACTAAGAAAGTTTTTCATATAGATATTATGTATATTATAGATATACTGTTTAAGTTTTGATACGATTTTAGAGAATGCATTGGTAAGTGAGAAAAAAAAATTCCGCCATAAAAAAAGAAATGTACAAAAGTCGATTGATAGATTGATAATAATGTTTGACACTTAATAAATTGCTTGTCGAATGGCAAAGGTACCCATTGACTTTTGATTTATGTGATGTGAGTTACACTTGATAAACCAAATCGAATCGTATCGCATATTTCGTCAATTAATCGCTTTAATAAATTCCGCTACACGAAATATTAAATGAAAATCAATACGCTGAATTTCGTTTAATTTTTAACACTTTTTAATCAAAGCCAAAGCATGAAAAATGTTGTTTATCAGTAAATGATCTTTTTATATTCTCAAATTAGGTATTTTTTTAGATACGCATCTACGGCTATACGAAAAGATCTCAATCTTAAAAAACATAAAAAAGTCAATAGGGGTTAAATCACAACTTCTGGTGGCCAATATTGTGCTTACCTGAAACGGCTTCGTCCATTCGTCCGCATAAAAAAACAAACGAAAGAAACTGCGTTGCCAACGTAAACATGTTGAATACAATTTTTTTCAAGTTTAACTGCTTGGCACACTCGATTAATTGTTAATTACATCGCTGACGATCAAAGCGATATTGTTTACGTTGGTATCATAGTTGCAGATCGCCTCCCAGAACACCTGTAAAGATAAATCGTTTTTGTTTAGGCGATTAAGACAAGTTAAAATCAAATAAAATTGAATTTAAAACTCTCATGTTAAATGATAAATTTGTTTGGGCGATGAAAAACCGGCAAAAGTATGGAACAATTTATTTCTCAAAAAAATGTATAAAAAAGTATTCATATACATATATAAGGGTGATTCTACAAAAGTTGGACAACTTGATGTCATCAGTCAATAGAGTAGGTATTTTAATATTTTTGTAAATATTTTAGTATATTACAAAAGATCCAGGTTTTTTTAACTTATCCACCCAATTTTAATGTATTTTTTCAAAAGCACGTTTGTAGAAAAACATAATAAATATTCAAAACATCAGCACCTTGGCGTGTCACAACTCCTGAATCAAATTTGAGTGATTTTATTTTAAAATATATTCAATTTATCTTAAATTTTTCAATTTCACTACAAACTATAAAACATTAAATAATGTATTTTTCATATTTTAACATAGATTCGAATAATAGCAATTTTTAAAAAAATTATAATCTTTGTACTAACTTTTACCCGTCAGTTCTGTGTCCAATGTTAAATTTCAATAGTCCTCGTTTTAACTCAAGTGTTGGTAAAAAAATTACCTACAGAGCCCGCCCTTTGCACGACAGTCATCTTGAAAACAATGCAAGCGGCGAAGTTGTGGTGAATGCACGTATAGTTCCAGTCAAAATTTCAGTACTGTGGTGAGTAGTTATTTTCTTACGTATTTATATTTCATTGTAATTTATATAAGGCTATATGTGATTTGTTGATAAGTAGCATCCACTTATTAAAAATATCAGTAAAATACTTAATTCCGAATTATAATCTCAAATTTTTATCCCATTCATCAGTACCGTGTCGTCAGTTCCATGTTCGATGTTTCGGTTATCTTTTTTTCGCAAACTTCAATTTAAATTTTGCTTGCGCAGAACTTGTTTACTTAATGTCATTATAAACTCATGTAAATTTGGTGTGGGTTCCATATCTAATAATTGAGATATCGGTATACCCAAAATCCACCAGCCGCCACTGATGTGTGGTATTATTTGATTTTAAGATATTTAATGTAAAATATGCTCAAAGTTGCAATAAATCTTATATTTTCCAATAAATTATATATTTAATTAGTACCCTGGTATACTCGTCACTTCCCTTGCATTCAAATTTAGAAAACACAGATATTTCAGAAACTGTTTGAAAAACTGACTGGCCCGGTCTGGAACAGTATATTATTATATTATCTATGTTCTCATAAAAAAAATACTGTTTAATTTTCTCCGAAAACTATATAAACAAAATGAGGTCAAAAGTTGCCCAAGTTTTGTAGAATCACCCATAAGCATTTTCAAAATATTCATAAAGATAAAAAAAATAAAAAAAAATTTTAATCACGAAAAAGGCACATTATTTAATGAATTTGTTCCACCCTGTATATGAAATACAATTTTTGACATGATTAAAAAAACTCGAATATTTTGAATGGTTTTGTGATTCAGAATTTGTAAAACTAATAAAACATATTTATTTTATGAAATATAAATTCATGGTGGAATAAAATTGTTCAATCAAATGTAAATTTTACGAAATTTGTGCTCCATTATATTTTATCTATTTTAATTATTATTAACTTCAAAAAAACAAAAATAAATCAAATGATGTGTGAATTAACATTTTACACACAAACACTTTAATTCTACAATTTCACATACCTACACAAATTGTAAAATATTTAGTTAGACATACCTATTTTGATATTTCCAAATGGGTTTTCTGTTACAATAGTTAGTACAGTATAAAAAAGGGGGTCCAATAACTAAATAACGATGGCATTTTTTATTAACGGCTCGTTATAATTTTTTAACAACCAAACTACGGATTTTGTTTATTTTAGCGCTTCTTGCAAATTGTATAACAAGGGTTATCGACAAATTTGTGGCATTCAATTAATGATAGTAATAATAGTAAACATAACACACGCGCTAATATAAACATGAAATTAAGTGTACCTATATACAAAGAAAAACTGTTTTAATAAGAATTGCCGTTGCGCACTTTTAAACTGCGTACTCTTTAGGCGCCCCACCCTAACCTGCTCCAAAACATAGACAATAAAAAACAATATTCGTTGAACAATACTTAATTAGTATTTGGGCCGAAATCCGACGCAAAATTAATGAATTTTCAGTAAAAACCCCTATAAATTATCCATCCCAATTTAAATATCTCTTTTGCGAAATGAGATATCAAACCCATAAATTTTTATCGATGACCATAAAGTTATAACATGCGTTATAGATTGACCTATCAAATTATGTGGGCTATTTCGTACAGAGATAATATTTATTTTATCACTCGAACCCTCTAAAACTTCTTTAATTCAGAGGGAGATAATTTTAAATCAAATGTCACAATTTGGCTTGTAATTTTTCGAATATAAATACTACAATACTTAATTAACGTTATAAAAGAAATGTTTACCTTTAAAATTGCTTAAATGCACCCAAAAACACCACTTTATTACCATAATTACACAAAACAAACAAACAATAAACTTGTTGAACTTTTGACAGTTGACATTTGACATTTTACTATGCGCTATGCGACAGGAGCCAGTTTTTGGCATCTAGCCTTCTGTTTGGTTTTTGCAGACTTGTTATTTTATAATATGTGTTGGTAAATACAAAAACAGTTGCGTTTGACAGTCCTGAACAATTCATAGAACAAGTTTTAATTAGTTTTATGTGTGAGATTACCGTTATGTTCAGGTAGGTACTTATATATTATTTTGATATTAAAATCGATTTTGCCAATCCAAAGTTATTTGACGTACTTTTTGGCTATAAACACATAAAAACGATTAATGTTAACTTTATGCACTATAAATATTTCGAAGAAATTGTGGTTGCCTTGAAAGTTATTTGAAGGGCAGATTACTGATATCTTTATTTTCAATAATGTTCAGTAATATTGAAGTCTAACTGGGTTGACCAAACAAAATAAATTAGATTCTTATTGTTTAAGGATTTCGCCGCGACATCTAGCTAGTTTATCAAAATTGATATCCTATCCTAAATCTAACGTTTTTATAAACTTTTTGAGTGTCATGAAATTTCTGAATTATGAAATATTTATTTATTTTGCTAGAAGAATTATTTAAGTAACTTTTAACTAAACATAGGTAGATTTTGTCTAAAATATTTTTTATATTTGATGGCGCTGTAATGAAAAAAATCAATTTTGTTCGATTTTTCTTCTGGGACATTCCACGTTACTCGGTAATTTAATTTAAAGGATTATTGAACTATTTTTAATAAAAATACCTTATTTCAGGTAAAAAAACCATTATTTTGTCAATTAATTAATTTAATCCTAATTGAGGTATTTAGTTATAAATAATAATTATTATTGAGGTATAAAGAAACTATTTATAGTATTATTTAGCATTATTTAATCAATTTAGTTCGAAGATTAATTTGCAAAAAATTGTACAAAAAGACCTCCTTTCGTTAAGCAGTTATTCATAATGTATTTTTTAACAGTGGAAGAAAAATAGAAATGATTTTGATTTATGGAGAAGCAGGCGGGAATCTTGATGATGCTGTTAATATCTACGCTCAGCGTTTTCCGGATAAAATTCGATCACGTACTTCATTTTACCGTACAGTCAAGCAGTTTACTACAAACGGGAGTGTTCAACCGAAAAAAAGAGTTCGTCGAGCAACACTCACCCTGTATATTATATATATATATATACTTATTTTATATTTAACATAATTATTTTAGTGTATAATGGGTTGCATATCCAATTATAAAGAGCGTACATTTATTCTTTTTATTTTATATTAAAGGTAACGTTTGTTGCTAACTATGAAAAAGGTTAAGATATTTTAGGTAGGTACTTAATTAATTTTTTTATAGGTTGTGCGCATAATACTCAACTGAGTATTAAATTTCAGTAGTATCCTTGATGTGTATAGGTATTATTTTACAAGGATCAGGACCAGCTTGTGTTGGCCTTTATCATTTTGCAGGAAATTTTAACCCAAGTATTAAATTATATTAATTGTGTGGTAAATAATAAATTCTCAGTTATTACCTTATATGCATTTTATGATGATATATATTACTAAATTACCAACATTATTTAACTGTGTTAATAATTTGTGTTGTGTTTGTGCAGTCTTGCTTTTTAATTTCGCACATTTGATGTAAAATTTATATATTTCCGCCATTTTTGTAGAAGCCATGACGTCATTAGCCGTTTTTTTAAATTGCAGATTCTAAAAGATTATAAAATACTGAATAAAGTATTTAAAAAATTTCTTTTATAAAAACTTTTTCATTTTATCAAAACCCCATTAAAAAGTTTTTTAATAAAAACTATAAAACAATAATTTGAATGTAGAACTAATGATTCTAAATCGGTGTAAATAGTCATTGTATACCAAAATACAGAGCTCGGTTCTTTATCTTTTTTAGGTGAGCGTTATATTACCGGTTTAAGGGGAAACCAATAAATGTAACCGGCAAAAAATGTTTGGGTTTATTATAAGAAGAAAATAACATGTTTTTCCAGAGATCCAATTTAGCAAAAACCCGTTGCAATAAAAGTTACAGTGCGATTTTTATATCCTGGGTAAATGTAAATATAATTCATGTTATTTTTCGTCTAAAGGTAATAAACAACAAAACCTTTTTTTTTAATATAAATTACATTAATTTATTAATTAGTTTTTGTTAAATAATATTTAATAAACATGTGTTTAAAAACGTGATTTACATAAGCAAAGCGTTCACTAGAAAAACAGTAATTAAAAAGCTTTTGAAAATACAGGGAAAACAATTTTAATTGGTAGACACCAAAATCAATGAAAACTTAAAGTTGTTCAACAATAATCAAAACACTTAATTAATTTTTGGTTGTTTCACTGTAAGTCTAAAATGGGGTTTTTGGGAAGCCACCAGGTCTAGCAATAACATAACAGTGGTTCTGCACTAATGCAAGAATTTTAAGAAATCATACATTTTGAATATAAGAGCTTCACAGAAGGTAGCTTCACGGAGGATAGAATTTCGTATGTTTTTTTAAACATCCCTTTGTATATTTGAAATAAGTTATTGTATCGTTTGACACCTTAATATTTTTTTAAATACAATTGTACCTACATAAAATATTTATAAAAAAATCTACTCACTGAGATATTACACTTCACGGTGGATAGGTTTTTAAATAGCAAATTAATGAACTCAAACTTTTGAATTATAAAACAGCAACACTCTCATCTGCATATAAATTCTAACTGACCTTTAGGAATCACATGCATCTATAATGTCGTAAACAGAGGTTTTTGATTATTTAAAATGATTAAAGCGCCATCCGTTGCATAAAATTTAAAGCAAAAACAGATTCACGGAGGATAGAATCATTTTTTGTAACACCTACATAAATGGTTAAAAACATTATTTCTTTTTATTTTTAATGATATTTTATATTTGATTCGATTGCTTTGGATGTGTTTAATGTACTTAACACCCCGTATATATATATATATTAATTTAAAAAACTAAGAATTTAATTGTTTTTTTCACAGAACTTCTGTATGACTTCCGAGAAAAATTACACAAATTAAAGTGACAAAGTGTCGCGTGCGAAATTCTTAAATCCAGCAATTTAACTTTTAAAAGGATTTTTCGCGAAACGGCAAGATGTTTATCGTTCAAATAAGAAAGTCTGCCGCTTAAAAAACTAACGTTACGTAAAGAAAATTATTGAAGAACTTGCACTGAATACAATTCGGTTTCGTTTTTGAAATAACCGACATTGGACATAGTTTCAAAGTCAATTTTCTCTGCGAATTACGTAAGCTTTTTATCAAGTTCGACTTAAACGAACAAACCGAAACTATTTTATGACAACTGTACATAAACTTTTCATAAGGACTTTTAAGTTAGTTAGTTGTCAACAACATTTATACTACTACTTGGCAGTAGAAACTTATTTTATTTAGTGTTACTTACATGCAATAGCTACATTTTCATTTTAACTCAGGATTTAAATTAAAATTAGTAGTTTACAGAATTTTTATTTTCGCATAATCTTTTTCTTTTTAATTTACAAAGTTTCACAGCGAGTGCTTAATTAAATGAGTGCCTAAAAAATTGTTTTTTTTCAATCTTTAACATGACAACGAATTATATAAAAACAGAATTTTTTCTGAAGAGTTTTTGAAGAAAATGAGGGTATTTTGGAACTTGCGAGAGAAGCGACTCAAAATCTGCTTCCATCTAAAAATATGACAAAACTTCTATCAATGGAGAAACAATCAATGGGTACAAGGTGTCAGTGAAAATGTTATGCTAGCGTTTTTATTTTGGAAAGGTAAGAATCTAAAGCCTAAATTATAGATTGCCTTCCTTCCTTCCTCCCGTAGAAGATGAACAATACGAAACCCAATAAACACTTTTGACGTAATTGTCACCATTAACATTTCCCGTGTAAGAATTTTTAATACTTTGTGATAATATTTAGCAATTATAGCAATAAAAAAAAATCAAAGGATAAAATATTTTCTTAACAAAATTATATTTTGAAGTTATTTTAATATTTTAAAGTATCAATAATTGTTAAGTTTATTATAATTAAAATTAATAACGGACAATTACGTCAAAAATGTTTATTTAAATCGTAGTGCCATTTATAGATTCTCGTACCGTAAGGACGGCATTCCTTTCTCCCGTAGAAATTTTTAAGTTTTATCTTTCACCGTAAAGGTCTTTGACATGACCAATCTCAGTGCTTGTTATGGACATGCGCTGTAGGGTGACAGCGCGTATGCACAAAATATTTAAAATACATGATTGTTTAGTATTATTTAAGATAGGTGTTCAGTTTATTAAATAATTTGTGTCTCTAAATAGGATATTTAGATATTGTTTATGATCAATGTCTTTCATTTTTAGAAATGTTGCTTTGTAAAACCCCGTAGTTTCCCGGTCTTGGTAAAGTGGGCGAGTCTTCCAACGTCTTGTTCGATGTAATTTTTTTCATTATTATAATGTATAATACAACGAGCTGCCTGGGCAATTAAAATTGTGATCACTGCACTAATATAATATATAAATAATAATAATATATTATAAATGTTTATTTTTCATATTTACACACAATGGGTAAAACGAAGAATATAAGCAAAAACAAATGTCAACCATTTTAGGTGTCATCGCGCTTGGTTAAGGAATTTTACACGGAAATCTATAAATTGACTTTTTACAAGACGCACAAATCGTACGGGCACGACTACGGGAGGAAGGAAGGAAGGCAATCTATAATTCAGGCTTAATGCTTTAAAAAAATAAATTTTCCAATTTGTTCTTGTATTTTTAGTCCAAAAATCTGAAGGCATCGTCACTGTGGTCAACATATTCGATGCTGAAGAGTACGTTGCAAATATATAAAGGCAGTGACATTTCAAAATACAAGCATTTAATTGCATTTTTGCAGTTTCCAAATGACGCTTCGAATGAATCGTATCTATTTATGAAAGTGGCATTAACTTTTGCTTTGAATGGAGCAATGCGAGGGGAAGAATTACGAACACTAACAGTTAACGATATAGAAGAGAATGAATCAGTCATTATCGTAACACTACGTAATACAAAAACGAAAAAGAAGCGAGTTTTACCATAACTTCGGAAGCGAACGGAATTGAGTTGTATCGGAAGTATCGTAAATTAAGGCCACAAAACACGAATCATTCCAGATTTTTCGTTTGTTACCGGAATGGTAAATGCACTGTACAACACATTTTATAGTTTGCCGAGAAAAACTGCTGAATATTTGAAGCTTCCTGATTCCAATAGCTACACAGGGCATTGTATGCGAAGGAGTGCAGCTACCATGTTGGTTGATAATGGGGGCAGCATCCCTGATTTGAAAAGACGGGGGATGGTCTTCAACATCTTCTGCTGAGGGTTATATAGGAGAAGGCATTCAAAATAAAATTCAAACATCGAAGAAAATTTTTAGAGGCTCCAATCAACAGGAAGCTTCAAAGGATGAGCACTTATCCTCATCAAGTTAAACTATCATGGATGTTTCATTAAACGAATTTTCCAAAAGTACAAATGGAGTTGCATTCCAAAATATATCTAATTGTACATTTAATATTTATGAACATACAAATTGTGAACAATTTTTTTTATTAAATGTCAGATTTGTGTGTATGGTTGTGTTGCTAACGAATCAAATGTTGCTAACTATTAAAGTGTTACTAATTAGTAAAATAAAACATTTTTTTATTGAATTCTAGCTAATCAAATGTCTGTTTTCCATTAAGGATACAAAAAAATAATTTTCACATTTAGTATTATTTTACAAAAAAGGCACTTTATTTTAACGATTGTATGACATTTAGCAACTGTCAACATCAGCCCGTAAACCCACAACATGTCAATGTGTATTTAAAATGTCCCTTAGTGTCATAAAAAACTATGATTTTAAAGGTGGGAGTGTAAAAAAATAATTAAGGATCATTGATACATAACATAGAATTAATAAGTTGATTAATAGGTGAAAGTAATTACTTATTTCTTGGGTATATTTTTTTTACTTAGATGGATAAAATAATTCCTAATTAATAATCAATTTAGAGCTAATTGAATTATATACTCATTAGCCATTTAATGCATTAAGAATATTAAAAACATTAACTTGATCTTTAAACATTTTTTTTACCTACCTACATGAAATTCAATAGGCACATCCGCCATTTTTGACAATACTTATTAAATGCATAATTTGTAGTTACCATTGGAAATAGCAGACAAATATGGACAAAAAAATGTTGACCTTTTAAAAAGTGGGCTTTACATAGTTTGGCTTTTTTAAGTTAATTAGTAAACTGTCAATCTGTCAACCGTTTTGCCACGTTGTGATTTGAGATTATTTATCGGAGTATTGGTGGATTGCGTCACGGTCCCGAAAAAATTGATAATTATCACGTTATAAGTGTGTTTTCCCTTACTTTGCCACTGTAACACCCGAAACGAAAAATCATGTAATTGTTTTATTATTATACCTTACAGATTAATTAGTGTAATAATATTTAGTAAAAGTAACGTTATGGTGGTAATGATTTAAAATACAAACTAATATCTGAGCATGAGACTAATTTGATATGTTTTTCTTGATTAAAAACTGTAACACCCGAAACGTTTCGGGTGTTACAACTTTTTTCATATGCCGATATATGTGTGTGCATTGCTTGAAGAATGCAATAAGTAATATTTTAAAGGCTCTTTCGACGGCCCACTAGCGCCGCCATCGGAAAAGCAGTCACACCTATTTTAAAGAGGTGTGACTGCTTTTCCGATGGTGTTGTCGAACCTACCGAAATTTCGGTATTACTACCTAAATTGCAACGACCCTACCAAAATACCGAATACTTAGATGTTCGTCAATAATTATGTTTCTACCGATTTTTGCCAATAATAACGATTTTACATTTTTGCCGATTTATCAATCGCACCCGAAGCTGCTTAAGTTATGTTTAAGAAAAATTCATTCTATTTATGTTTATTTGTTACTTACTTATTTTGTAGTACTTAGAGACTAATAAAACACAGATTTTGTCCATATAAAGTGTTTAATTTTTGTACTTGTAACACCCGAAACAGAACCATGGTAACGCCCGAAACAAAGTAAAATTTTATAAAAAAAATAGTAAAACGTTGTTTGTGACAGTGATTATGTGGTAGATGGTTAGTAAATAATATACTTTTGGAGGGCTGTAATTTTTAGGAATGTTTTCCTAAGAAAATTCGCTGAATTTCAAATAAATGTAACAATGGTCAGGACATAGAGGAAGAATTATGAAACACCCGAAACGCACACTTTTTGACTTATAAAATCGTTATCCTTTATGCTAAACTGTACCAATTTTACAATTTAGATTAAACAACTAAAAACGTTGAGTATAAAACACTTTGAATGCTAAAATGTTATTTCAAAATACATAAAAATTTAGACTTTGGTTGAACAAATTTAACACCCGAAACAATGGAATGACCCCATATTTATGAGAATGTATTTAATGAACAATGAACAATTTGTTCATAGTTTATACCCTAATAATTATTCACATTGTTATTTTACTAATTTGATATAATTTGATTCAGTTCAGTAATGTTATCTTTGCTTCATGTTAAATTTTATTGGATGTAAACTTCGTAATTAACTAAATAAAGGAAATCAGAAACTAAAGATAAATTAAACATTTACTTAAAACAACTGTAAACAATATAAATTACAATTGATTCATTTAATTAGTGCTGGAAAAAATAAATAAACAAAACTAGACCATTTACAAAAATGTTTCATTTTTTTATAATGACTATTCCACATTACTTTATGGACCAATCAGATTTCAGAAAACGAGTGTTTTTTTTTAGTTTCTTATTTTAAAATAAAAGTATCAAAAAATATGCGTTTTGGTAAAAAAAATCATACAGAAATTGAATCGGCAGTTAATTCTAATAAAAAACAAATATTCGTCAAATAGTCCCTGAAAAAATTTTTGATTTTAATTTTTATTTTATTACTTTTTAAAAATTAATGCCACTTGCGAAATTTCCAAGCAAAATACTATATAAAAACAGTATAAAAATCAAAAATTTTATCGGTAAATTTTTTTTATTTTTTTTGTACGAGGTGTGTTCAGAAAATATCGGGAATTTTCGTTTTTTGAAAAAAATATTTATTTATTTGTCTACATTAATGTTGTCGCCTTTAAAATAGCCTTTAGTTCTTTCAGCGATGCGCTTTTAATGTCATCTATGCTTGCAAAACGACGGCCCTTTAAGGTTCTCTTTATTTTTGGGAATAGGAAAAAGTCAGATAGAGGCATGTCTGGCGAATATGGAGGCTGGAGCATCATTACAGTATTGTTTTTGTTTTTGTTCAAAATTTAACAATTTTGGAACAAATTTTGCTGCTACGCGTTTCATACCCAAAACATTCGAAAAAATTTCATGGGATGAGCCAATCGATATACCGACATTATCAGAGACTTCTCTGATGGTTTATAACCATTTCTTACACTTTTTCCATGTTTTTATCGGTTGTTAATGTACTTGTGCGTTCGGGGCTTTCGTCATCTTCATCGTCTTCACGGCCATCTTGGAAACTCTTATACCACTTGTAAACTCTTGTTTTACTTATAGCAGACTCACTATAGGCCTTTGTTAACATTTCACAGAATTTATTTAATTTTTTAAGCAAAATTGGATACAAATTTCTTTGATCCATTTCTTTTAACGAACGAAAATCGCCGAGCTCATAAAAACACGTCTAACCTTAGCGGCTGCCACAGACAAAGTAAACGATGAAAACAGCTAAAGTTTTTATCATACTTCGGGGGCATGTATACCAACATAATAAAGAAAATTTTATGACAACCGGACCCTCCGTACCCGCGAAATTTAACAATTCCCGATATATTCTGAACACACCTCGTATATACGATAAAAAAATATTACCAACTTACGTAAAGTAAAACTTAAACTTCCTGAAACTACATATTATTATAAATGTATTTAATAAGTATTTTCAAAAATGGCGGATGTGCCGGGTTAAGAACCTATTATTATATTGAATTTAAAGTGAGTAAAAAAAATGTTTAAAGATCAAGTTAATGTTTTTAATATTTTTAATGCATTTAATGGCTAATGAGTATATAATTTAATTAGCTTTAAATTGATTATTAATTATAAATTATTTGTCCATCTAAGTGAAAAAATATATCCAAGGAATAAGTAATGTTTTATTTTTATGAGGATAAAAAAATATTCTAAAACTAAAAACAATTTTTTACAAAAAATAACTAACTCACGTAAATTTAAACTTTTAAACTTCCTGAAACTTTCAAACAATTCCTGAAACGCGCTTTCAACCTAAACTGCTGAAGGTTGCGTTGTATAACGAAGCCGCGCGTGTACTGAAAATTTCTGAAAGACAAATTCAACGCTCCTGAAAACATGGTGTGAAACTGCGCAAATACGATCCACCGAACATGAAAATTTATTTTTTTAATAAGTTAATATAAAGTAAAAAGTTAATACCTACATTTTACATTTAGTAAATTTTCTTGTTGCAGGATAATTTAACAAAATAATTGACAGGTAGTTTAAGGTAGCATTTACATTATTCATTTCAGCAAAGTTTTTGTTTTCTTCGGTGCTCAAGCAAAATATTAATCTGCATATAGAAAAAAAATTCTCAACAAGTTTGAGCTCTTAATATAAATTTTAAGTACTTACTATTTAAATTTAAAGTTTTACCGTTTAAAATGCATGTAAAAAATATATTTTTTTTTTCAAATTTCTAATGCTTACCCACCTTTGACAATATTGCAAATCGGTTTAATACACCTTATGGGGAATTTCACGCTCTTTAAAATTGCTTTTGAGTTTTTTTTTTGTAACTCGCATTGGTTCACCAGTAGGAGTCGTCAAAGGACAGTTTTTGAAAAAAATCTTTTTTTTTAAATTTTTTCTAACTAAAAATAATAGTACATACGAGGTGTGTTCAGAAAATAACGGGAATTGTTAAATTTCGCGGGTTCGGAGGGTCCGGTTGTCATAAAATTTTCTTTATTATGTTGGTAAACATGCCTCCGAAGTATGATAAAAACTTTAGCTGTTTTCATTGTTTACTTTGTCTGTGGCAGCCGCTAAGGTTAGACGTGTTTTATGAGCTCGGCGATTTTTCGTTCGTTAAAAGAAATGGATCAAAGAATTTATATCCAATTTTGCTTAAAAAATTAAATAAATTCTGTGAAATGTTAACAAAGGCATATAGTGAGTCTGCTATAAGTAAAACAAGAGTTGACAAGTGGTATAAGAGTTTCCAAGATGGCCGTGAAGACGTTGAAGATGACGATCGCCCCGAACGCACAAGTACATTAACAACTAATAAAAACATGGAAAAAGTGGAAGAAATGGTTATAAACCATCAGAGAAGTCTCTGATGATGTTGGTATATCGATTGGCTCATCCCATGAAATTTTTTCGAATGTTTTGGGTATGAAACGCGTGGCAGCAAAATTTGTTCTAAAATTGTTAAATTTTGAACAAAATTTTTGGCCAAAAACAATACTGTAATGATGCCCCAGACATGCCTCTGTCTGACTTTTCCTATTCCCAAAAATAAAGAGAACCTTAAAGGGCCGTCGTTTTGCAAGCATAGATGACATTAAAAGCGCATCGCTGAAAGAACTAAAGGCTATCCCAAAGATCGAGTTTTAGAAGTGTTTCGAGTATTGGAAGAAGAGCTGGCACATGTGCATAATATCCTATGGGGACTATTTTGAAGGCGACAACATTAATGTAGACGAATAAATAAATATTTGTTTCAAAAAACGAAAATTTCCGATATTTTCTGAACACACCTCGTACACATTTACAATAAAAATTACTTTGCACTTTAAGTCGTACCTATTGAGTTAAAAATCTTAGATTTAAATTATATACCATTAATATTTTCGCCATACTTGGCTTCTCAAAATATTTACGTGGTTTAAACAAGTTAATAAATAAAATGACAATATGAAAAATAGCGTAACTGTGAAGAAATGTATATTTTAAATGTGCCTGAGGGAGAGAGAAATATTAAAAGAAGCAGTTCTTTAGGAAGTTTTATAGTGGTTTCCATAATATTCCTGTTATCTGTAGTTATAAACGTTTTTTATAGTGTTACTAAAATAGTTACCGATAACCTTCATAAACTCCCCAAATAAGCTCTTTAAAGGGTATATAAGAGTGATATAAATATTTCTGTAACCAAATTAAGAAATTTAGGTTTTATAATTTGGATGATATAACCACTATAAAAACAAAAATGTTTATAGTAACTTTTTCCTTTATTTTTACGTGTAGAATCACCCCGCGAAATATATTTCTTAATTCCGGATGCCCTGTATAAGTATCAGTTTTTTACTGACTCGACTGGAACTGTTCGATAAAAGGACTTCCTGTACAATTGTACCTACTCGTATCTTGTAGGTTGCTTGGTTACATTCCCGCCGAACAAGTTAATTAAAAATATGCAATCAGTACCAGTACCTGATCCAATTAAATGAATTATTGTATATCCGGACTTATGTAACTAATATCTTCGTGCCTTTGGTCTACCTACCTACTCCGGGCAGTTATAGTCCTCGTACATATCACTGATACATTCGGATTTTTGTCACAAGTACAGTGGTCCAAAATAAAAAGTTTGTATGATAGGATTTTTTGTTTTAAACTAATATTTTAATATTTTTTCAAAATTTTTTATATATAATATCATAACAATTTTTTTTCAATTTCATTTTTATTATGAAAACATACAGTGTGACCCATTTGTTTGCGACTCACCCCTTTAAAATCTTTATTTATTGTGCGATTTCAACCGGATTTATTTTAAAGTGTAGATCTTGATAAACTGTTTTTTTGGAGCAAAAGACGCCATATTAGTACAAAATACAAGGCCTACTTTGTCAGTTTTTAAGAGTAAATTTTTAATAATTCATATTAGCGATTTTTTTTAAACAAAATCTAAGCACGGCACTGGATTCACCACCCCTTTAACCAAAATAAGTTTTTATAGTTATTATTATGCATTTTTCAACCAACAATTTTTCAATAAAATTTAGTATAGGGTCGTTTTTGAGGGGTGGTGAATCCAGTGCCGTGCTTAGATTTTGTTTAAAAAAATCGCTAATATGAATTCTTAAAAATGTACTCTTAAAAACTGATATAGTAGGCCTTGTATTTTTTAAAAATACGCATACTCAAAATCAATTAATAAAAAAATGTTGGTGCCATATCGAGTTATCAAATACTTATGTTTTCATAACAAAAGTAAAATAAAAAAAATTATTATATTATTTTAGTTAAGTGTTCTGTTTACATTTGAGAATGAAAAAAAATATTGGTTAACGACAGGATATATTGAGTTGAATTCAAGAAAGAAGAAGTATTTTTTGTTACAAATATTATAATTCTTGGCGATACAATATTTACTTTTGGAATTAAATATATCTTTATGTAAGTTAAGCAATAATTGTTTCAAATATTGTCTATTATTTTTTTAACTTTTGCTCGACTTTAAATAAAGGTTAGAATATAATGAACATGTTTATTTCAAAAGGTAAAGAGTGGATTATGCTATCTCTTTTTTTCTAAGACTGATAGAGAAAAATAGATAGGATAACCCACTCTTTACCTTTTAAAATAAACATGGTCATTATATCCTAACCTTTAAAGTCGAGCAAAAGTTAAAAAAAGAATAGACAATTATTGCTTAACTTAAGCTGAAAAAAATGATATTAGTCTATAGCATTGTCTTTATTAAATAACTTTTTTACAATGTTTCAAATACCTATTTATACTGCAATGATTTTTTCAAACCTTTTGTTGATTTTGTTTGCAAGACGGACATTTTTTGGCTATATTGGCCTGTTTAATCAAAATTTGTATTCGTACCTATAACCTAGAGGTAAAATATACATAATTGTTTTTTATGTGATTCTTCGGCCAACCTAATATCATTCCAACATCTAAAATTCAATACATAATACTACACACATAAATATAATTATGTAATTATTATTACTTACACATACATTTGGTGGTTAATTCTATCAAATTCCACTAATTTAGCAGCTCTTATAATTCCAAACCAAATATTAACTAACACAAGAAACAATCTTCCAAAATGTCGGACACCTTCGTGAGTGGGGGATATTTTTAAGAATAGGCCAGTCGTACCAATATTTACTAATCTTAGAATAGATATAATTATATTTATATCCAGTAGATATAGTTTTACATCTTTAAGAACAGAATAGAGGAAATTTTCCTATATTTGGTCTAATCGATTGTTAATCTTAAATTAAGAATAAGATTATTTTATTTAAAGTCTTTCTTAACATTTAACAGGCAAGAATAAAATCTGCTTGTTTGAAGAAAGATTAATATTTAGTTTAATGTTAGTTTTAGCCTTGACCATATTAGGTCAATCATCTTGTTTCAACTGTACTTGATTTTAAGCTAAAAAATAAAATCTTTTTAATTTAAGGATAGGTTAATATTTAAAAGAAATTTAATGCATTCGTAGCCTAAGCAAATTATACTATTTGATATTGTTTTTAAAACAAAATAAATAATAACTACTTTTTGTCATTGTCCGTGGTGCAGCACTGTGCAGTGGTAAGCCTTTCTCCCAAGTGTAAGGTCCAATCATATCGAATCCCTATCGGCCAGCTAGATTTTCGTCGATACGACTAGGATTAAAGGTCCCAAAGCACGCTTGATCGAATTTTGCCCCTTTTATTCCGCTTTGGAACCGTTTAATATTGTCTGCGCCATATATATAAATGTTAAAACAACAGGCCCAAACAGTTAGTCTTGTTCGCGAAATTAAATAATGAATCGCCTGTCGTTATTTTTTGTTGAGTTATTGATGGTGAGTTTGTAATGAGTTTTGTAATTAATGAAGGGGCAAATAATAAAGTGCCATTTTTTTTATTAAAAAAATTTATTAAAATTTTTATAATTAAAGTAGAAATGTTGGGCCGCCACTGGTTCTTCCTGATCTATGACAACTGACGCAAAATATGCTGCACAGTGGGCAATAATCTACATCTACAATAAAAATTTAAATTTGTGTTATCATTGATTATTTGGGTCACCCTGTGCGAAGAAGTGATTTCTTGTCTAATTTTTTTTATTTTTTTTATAAATTTTTGAAATTTCCAATTGTTTTAAAATTATTTTAATAGATTTTGTATCAGAAAATTATTTCTTTCTCATGTTTACCATGCCTAATTGTTTTATTTTGTTTTTTTATCTGCTTAAAATATGAGTGTCATACAATTTTTTTTTAGTTTTTTCTTATTTTACTTATTTTAAATTTTGCATTTATTCTTGATTTTATAGAATGGGGTTTTTGGGAAGCCACCAGGTCTAGTAATAACATAACATAAGTGGTTCTTCACTAATGCAAGATTTTGAAGAAATCATACATTTTGAATATTAGAGCTTTACGGAGGTTAGGATTTCGTATGTTTTTTTAAACATCCCTTTGTATATTTGAAATAAGTTATTGTATCTTTTGACGCCTTAATATTTTTTAAAAATACAATACATAAAATATTTATAAAAAAATCTACTTACTGAGATATTACACTTCACGGTGGATAGGTATTTAACTAGCAAATTAATGAACTTAAACTTTTGAATTATAAAACAGCAACACTCTCATCTGCATATAAATTCTAACTGACCTTCAGGAATCACATGCATCTATAATGTCGTAAACAGAGGTTTTTGCTTATTTAAAATGATTAAAGCGCCATCCGTTGCATAAAATTTAAAGCAAAACAGATTCACGGAGGATAGAATCAATTTTTTTAACACCTTAATAAATGGTTATAAAAATTATTTCTTTTAATTTTTGATAATATTTTATATTTGATTCGATTGCTTTGGTTGTGTTTAATTTACTTAGTGAACTGATATTTTTAGTACCTCAGATATTTGAAAACATAAAGGTTAACCTAGAAAGAGTAACAGTCACGTAGGATAGGTTTTAGACTTTTAAAACATTGACAAAAATAATTAGTTGCGGTTAAAAATCTGGAACCTGAGCTGTAATATCTACTTAATTATGAAAGATCAAAACACAATAAAAGTGTAGGTCAAACTCATTTAGTTTTATTAAATATCACGGGGTAAAACCATCGTGGGACATTTCGTGAGATTCACCCTAATATTCACGAACTTTTCAAATATCTTTTAAAAAAATTGCTGAGGTGCTATTATTATAAATATATTCGTGTTTATAAAATATACCACTTTACAAACAATTTAAATCACTACCGGCATTATTTTTATAAACTAAATACCAGAAAAGAAAGGCTACAAATATATCTGTAATAAGATCAAACAACTTTTTTTTACTAAATAACTTAAACCACTTGCTCATGTTTATAAAATATTTACTGTAGATAAAATGACAATTATTTATATTATGTTTATTTTCACTAAAAACTTTCCTATCTATCTTATCAATATTTTTTGCTAAATAAATGTATCTGAAGTATCTGCGTTAAAAAAACAATCAACTGTAGTTTTCCTAATCTTTATTATTAACGCACTATACATAATTTTACAAAAATGATAAATTTGTAATTTTCAATCCTTATCATTTATTATAATAAATAATTATTTATAATCAAATTTAAATGCAGCACCAATTAATGCAGTTGCTGATGCTAAAATTGTTGCGGAAGTTCCGCGAATTGACTAACCCTGATAGCAAAATTTGATTTTAAGAATCTTCTAAAAAGATATGACCCGGAATAATGGAATATTCTTAGAACCTTCCCTTATTGCTAAGAATGTTCTTAGGGACTTTTAAAACATTCAATAGATACCCTTTTAATGATGCAATTATATTCTTAAAAGCTTCTTAAAACTTTCCTAAAAAGCATCCTAAGAACATTTTAAGAATACGTTTTTGGAATGTTCTTAGAAGGTTTCTTATGGAGCTCCTAGGAAGCTTTTGAGAATATTTCCAAATATGTCAGATACCCACGTTCTAATATGTTGTATTCTACATTCGCAAAATTCTTCAGGAGACGACAAATATTCTTAGAACCTTCCCTTATTGCTAAGAATGTTCTTAGGGACTTTTAAAACATTCAATAGATACCCTTTTAATGATGCAATTAGATTCTTAAAAGCTTCTTAAAACTTTCCTAAAAAGCATCCTAAGAACATTTTAAGAATACGTTTTTGGAATGTTCTTAGAAGGTTTCTTATGGAGCTTCTAGGAAGCTTTTGAGAATATTTCCAAATATGTCAGATACCCACGTTCTAATATGTTGGATTCTACATTCGTAAAATTCTTCAGGAGGCGACAAATACGCCTCACTGTCATAATATGACAGTGAAATGTATTTGTCGTCCCCTTAAAAAATTTTGCGACATATTAATATAAATTTATTTAAAAATATTAAATAAACAATTTGACCTCTAAACCAAGTTGTATGACATTATTTCATAAAAAGTAAAATTGGAAAATTTTGTGGGATAAGTCAGATTAGATTGAAGTTGAAGATAGTTAGAATTATTATAAATAAAAATGGTAATTCAGAAATAAAAAATCGGTATACAAATTCATAAATATTTATTTTTAACATAAAATAAAATACCTATAGTAAAAGTATTTTTGTTGTCGAATATTGTTTTAATTTGACAAATAACTATAAAAAATATTTTGGATTGTGTTTTTTACTTATAGTATTTAATACTAATTACTAATTAGGTACTTAAGTATAGGTAACTGAACTAAATATTCTTAACGGGAATATTCCTAAATGAACTTTCTATATCAAGAACTTTCTTAACATTCTAAGCATATGTTAAGAGTAGACTAATTTTTACCACTAAAACATTGCACCTTCTAAGAACCTGCCTATAGGCCAGTAAGAATATTGTTAGGATCATGCTATATGTCTTTTAAGCATGTTCTTTAGAAGAAATATAGCATGATCCTAAGAATATTCTCACTGGAAGGTTTAAAAAACATTCTCAGAATAAAGTGTGCTATCAGGAAATAAATGGTGGGAATGCATATAAAGTTAATAAATTATTTTTTTAGGTATGTTTCACGAAAATCGATTATTTAGAAGCTCAATATTGTCAATGCGTATGTCCCCATCCCATAATTGAACACCCACTCATCCCAACTATACATGTGCAACCGGACTTTCACGTTCTGCAAAATCATGATGATGTCCAACAACAAGCTATCAACAACTTTCACGCTCTGCAAAATCACGATGTGGTCCAACAACAAGCTGTCAACAACTTTCAAAACCATGTCGAACAAGTATGATTGTCGATTTCGCCTTCATATTTCGCTAATTTGTACAATTTCAGGATAAAAATCAAGTGAGCACCATGCAAAAACAAAACACAAATCAAGCAAGCATGGTCCAAAAATTAAACAAGGAAACAATCGACGTCGTCGTGAACAAAAACAAAACGGCTGACAAAAACGACAGCAAAGATGACCACCACAAGAAAGATGACCTCCACAAGAAAGATGACCACCACAAGAAAGATGACCACCACAAGAAAGATGACCACCACAAGAAAGATGACCACCACAAGAAAGATGACCACCACAAGAAAGATGTCCACTACAGATTCGAGTACGCTGTAAACGACAAAAAATCAGGCGACGTTAAGAATCAAAGAGAAGAACGCCATGGCGATGTCGTAAGAGGGGAATATTCTCTACTGGAACCTCACGGAAATGTCCGAACTGTTAAATACTACGCCGACTGGAATCATGGATTCTTTGCGCAAGTACAAAATAGTAAACATGGTAATTAAGTCTATTTTTCTTTGTTAAATTTTGTTGTTAAAAATACGCGTTTTATTTATCAATTATTTAGAGATGTTGTATTTGGTTATTGTAAAAACAATACAGGAGCAAAGTTTATTTTAGTTCATCACAATAAACAGTTGAGAATATTTCACATTGTCCTATCCATTGTGACTACACTCAGAAAAATGTACATGCACTGATAATGAAACTAGCGATTAATAATAGTTATTTATGTCATTAGGTTAAGAAGTAAGGCTTTTTGTGCTAAGCTCAATTGAGCGAAGCACAAAAAGGCACTTCTTGGCCGAATGGCATACAACATTTTACCTTCAAAGCACTTTATATAGGTCAATTTAATTTAACATCAACGCGACCTAACCTCACTTTTTTAGAATCTCATTTATTTATTACCTAAAGATTACATTAAATGTACAATAATTATTATTGCTTTTAGAAGCAGTAATAGTTTGACACTACCTAGCAACATGATTTAAGTAGAAATGGATTTTTGCTATTACATTGAATTCAATTACTTGTTTAATAAATAGGTAGGTATCTAATTTCAATTTGTTTGGATTTTTATTTAAAAAATAGGTAGTTTGGAATGTTTAAGCTGTGTTTAACATTTAATTTCACTAAAAACTTAAAGCAAATTAAAACTTAAAGATAATTTAAATCGTAGAAAAGGAATCGTGCGTTTTCTTGGTTGCATAACCTCACTTTTTGTTTTATTATGCATATTTAACTTTACAATAATTTAATGAAAAATATTAAACATTAACAGTAAAACAAAAAAATTAGTGCTTATTATAAATAAATTAAACCAGTTTAGTACATTAATTTCTTATAAAAGGATTAATTTGTCAAAACAGTGCCCCTAGCGAGAAAAAATCGAACTAATTACTTGCCTCATAAAAATTTTTATCGGCCTAGGCCATAACAAGGTATTTCTTTATAGAATGTTGACAACAATATAGTTTAAATTATAGACTGCGTGGAGATAAAATAATATTATTTAACTTAAATTTAAAATTGTAATGGCTATAAAAAAATGTACCACCTAAGGTAACTTTTTTATTAAATTTTCAGTGTCTTATTGGGTCAAAAACCTACGATTTGTCAAAGTAAAGAGATTATTTTTATTTACAGAATAAACTTTTTTTACTGTTAATAAAATTCTCATTTACTATAATGAAGCAGCAATGTTGAGCTTTTATAAAAAAAAATGTTCATCCAACAAAGTTATCATATTGTCATGGCAATAAGAAATACTTTATGTTTGTATTAAATCTTTGTCAAACTTAAAATGTTTTTGTTAAATCTATAGTTGTGTGTGTATTGCGCTTACATGAAGTAATGCGCAGTTGTTATAGTAAAATTTGTTCATTTTACTATGGCATATTTGTATTTTTTAAGTTACTATCGTTGTAATTCGTATTAACTTTATTTCAGTTAGAAAATCTTTGTTAATAGCTTACGTTAAGAACAATAACAAACATATTTTATTGCTATAAAAAGACTTTTTTAATATTTACTATTGTTTTGCAATGCAACCACATTTTTGTTATTTCCCTTAAAAAGAGGGAGAAAGGGCCAGCGCTCTCCTTGGTAACTTTATAATCCACAGTCTGTGTTATAATCTTATGAGTTAATTTTTTTGTTATAATAAATAATTTGTTTTAATGCCTTGCAATTATTTAAAAAAAACTACCCAACACCCAAAAGTAGCTTAAATTAACAATTAATTTGTTGTTAAATTTACATAAATTTTAATAATATTATAAAATAAATAAATAAAATTTACAAAATTTCTATGAATAATACCATTAGGGTTTCATTAATATTACAAAACGTTTTTGTAAACGGTATAGGACTGTTTTTTCGGACAAATAATAATAACTATATTTATCAATATATATATATATATATATATTTTTACTTATTGTGCGATTTGATTTGTGATTGCATGTTCTATATTTTTGTGCCATACGACTAAATAAATAAATGATTGAAACACTTGCAAGAAAAATATTATTTAACCTATTTGAAAAATAATTAGGGGCCTCTACTCCCTTGTTGCCCCAGGGCCTCCACACCTCTAAATCCGGCCCTGGTTATAAACTACATGGATTACTGTGTTATTGTTTTTAGAACAATTTTCAGACGATTTTACCTATATAAAAATAAACTATTAAAATAAAACTGAAAGCAAGTCAAAACTTGGATTAACAAAAAAATTTCGTAGCTGAAGAAATTGAAATTTCCCTAGACTAGGGAAATTGTCCTAGGGTTGGTAAGGCTGTATATCAAACCTACTTACCTTTTTATAATGCACGATTTTTTGCTTATTTTTTAATAATTTTAAGAGTTTTTAAAGTTTGCAATTTTTATCAAACAATATTACAAATTGAAAGTCATTGTTTTCATAGAACTGTTAAATATGATTAAAATCAAACATCATAAAATATAATACATATATAATTTTTATCTCAAGGATTGTAAATGTATAGGGGAATTAAAAAAACATTAATTAATTAAACAAAAAATAACAATTCGGCAAATTAGTCATAAAATAAATAAATTAAAAATCTTGTCGGTATAACCCCTTAACAATATCCCTGCGCATTCGCCATTTTTGACATATCTTGTAAAAGTTTAATGCAAAATAAAATCAATTTTATTTTTTTAGGTATACTTGAGTAAAATCGCCATACCATAATTAATTATTAAACCGACTTATCCCATAAATACTTATTAGGTTCATTCCAACCAGCAATAATTTCCAGTAATATTACTGATACACATGCGCGTTTGTAAAATGTCGTTCCAACCAACTAAAATTACTAGTTTAGAACTGGCAATTACTGTCAGTTCGTCGTTCCAACCAGAGTTACGAACAGTTAAATTACGGTTCAAACGATTCTTGCTCGAGAGCAAGAACTGTTGATAATAAAATTAGACGCATGCGTAGAAGGGGCACATAACCTCATCTTTTTGTTTATTTATTAACGTTTGTAATATTGTAAGTTTGTTTTCTGTTAAAGTGGACATATTATTTAAAAATGACTGCTATACAAGGTGATTTTATTAATTTTTAATGTTAATACATCTAATTTTTCTCTTTTGTGAGCAGGAATGGAAGAATTTATTATCAATGTGTGATGTTATTAAAATATACTTTTATATATATTTATAAACTCAACAAACCTGGGTTATATTTATTTCTAGTAGCAATGTCCCCAATAAAATCTAAATTCCTTGTCATCCGAAGAATCATACAAGTAATTATTTAAAAAACCTGCCATATTTATTACTTTATTGAAATAGATATACCTATATGCGCTTTACTTAGCTTTTAGCACAATACAATTGTGGGTTTTGGGTTATATTCCTTTTTCTTCTGATTGTGAGTACTACCAGTTCAAAAAAGGTTCCAACCAGTTTATACATTATTCAAAATAATTTTACTATTTTTGTTCGCGCAGTCGCATTAACGCTGTTACGGACGATAATATTACGGTAATATTACTGCTGGTTGGAATGAACCTAATATTGATTATTTTTGTCTTCATAAATACGCGTTTTATTTACACACAGGCCCTAAAATTCAGTGTTTACTTTCCTCTTTCTCGAGGTGTTGAGAACCAGAGACAAGTCTCTGTTGAGAACCATCTGTCACTCGCAGTGAGAACTTGAGGTTATGGGAAATTGACACCTCGTCAAGGACGTTTGCGTCACGACCACGATTGTGGTTATGGTGCGGTTAACATCGAAAAGTCATAATTATTAAATAGTTTATAGTTATTAGTGCAAACACAACAGTGCGTTAGAACGTAATCTTATCTGGGTGCGCAGTTAATCGCGTGAGTTCGCGTATGTACGTTCATTAATAAATACCATTAAAAAACTAAATTCTTGTCAATCTTACTAAATTTGGTTTCGTGAGTTAATCGATATGGGTTTATTATCAGAAGGCAGTCCTTTATCGTGGGAAGAAACGAAAAAACTCTCCGAGCATGTCAGGAAACATGGTTTAGTGCAGTTTATAAACTTGTATAAAAGGCTACGGGACAGACAGGGCGACATACTCAAATGGGGCGACGAGGTTGAGTATATAATAGTTAAATTTAACGATGAACTTAAGACGGCCAAAGTGAGCTTGAGAGCGCAAGAATTGCTGGGTATACTCAACGAGAAAGAGCTGAAAGATCCTGATAACTGTAAGTCTCTGTGGAGGCCCGAATATGGGGGTTATATGATCGAAGGTACACCGGGGAAGCCCTATGGGGGTTTATTGGCACATTTTAATATCGTTGAGGCCAATATGAGGCACAGAAGGGAGGAGGCGACACAGTTATTAAAACCTGATGAATCCGTTATGAGCCTTACGAGTTTTCCCAGGTGAGGAATTAAAAATGTTTTTATTATTATATAATTTGTATAAATGTAGGTCAGTTAAATCGATATTTACTTGTTTTTATTTTAAAACATTCAATATATTTCATAAATAAATCAATAATAATCTAAAACATTTCATGAATTATTAATGATTCATTAATAAAAAATGCATTGACTATTATTGTGAAATATTGTTCGCAAATTTATTACGCAAGTTAATGGTAATTTATTCAGTGATAAGTTTTTATGTTAAGATTGCTGGAAAATGTACTGTTTAAAGAAAATTAATATTAAAAAAAAAACATAAAATTTAACACATTTTTTTATTATACAAAAATAGAAAAAACGTGTTTTATCGCATTATCGAATTGAATGACATGACAAAATTTTTACCTTGATAAAAATTATCAAGATAAAAGTAATAGGCTCTGTATTGTGCACCATTACAACCCCAAGCTCAGTATCCATGTCTTCAGTTATTTTTAATTTTCATATAAAATTTTATTTGTATGTATAGGTATAAAAAGGTTTTTTTTTAAATTGAAATGTCATTGTTTTTATAGATAAGTGATAAGTGAAAGTATCTTTTATTTTTAGAATTAAATCATAAAATTTATTTTTATATCAAGGATTTAAAATACGTATAGTGAAATTAAGCACATATCAGATGGCAAACATAATATATTTAATTTTAATTTTTGATAGCATGCAAACAATAAAACATATCTGTATTAGTTGTGGTATTCCATCTTCCGGTAAAAAGGTTGTAAAAATATCCCTGTGTATTTTTAGTATCGCAATTAACTGAAAAAAACATAAATGTAATTAAACAAAAAAATGCAATGCTATAAGGTTGTTAAAGTAGAGAAAAGTTGCGTAATCACGATCTGTTCTCAAAATATTTGAATACAGATTTGTTTTCATTTTCATTAAGATTAACATTATTATTAAAAAGTTAAATGAACGTAATCCCTGGAAGCTTTTATGCAACACATTAACATTAACTTTAACATTTTACCTCTTCTTAATGAAAATGTTAATTTTTAAATAAACCGCGTCAGTAATGCCAATATACCCGAAAATAAAATAAAAAGTGCTGCTGAATGTTTTATTTTGAAATGCTAAAACGGGGTTAAAACAAAATTCAAACAAACCAAAAATGTCAAAATTAAAACTAAATTAGCTTAATGTTAACTTAAATATTTTACAATGTGTCTTCAAAAACAGGTTTTTGAAATTTTAAATTAAGACGAAATTTTAAAAATTCAAAAATTAGACTGTACAGTAATGTCTAAAGTTAATTTTTTTTTATCTGGACTGCGGCAACGTTGCAAATTTAGGGTTTTGGTTGGTAAATACAGATGTCAAGTTGGTCACATTGATTAAAACAAACTAAGGTAGTTATAAATCTAATTGTGGTTATGTATAAATTATTGTAGGTTACATTGTGCAGTTGTCAAGTTGAGTTGTCGAAATTCGTAGTTAAAAATTCAATTAATTTGGCTTTGGTGGTGCTTGGATGAGTAAAATCATATAAAAAAAAGTAGTTAAATATAGGTTGCTTTACGGCCCAGAAGAGAAAGTATTCCTAGCGGATAATAATCTTCGCTTTAAAAAGAATTTATATAAAAGAAATTAAAATTTTTTTGTGAACGTAAATGTTGTCCAATGGTGAATAATGTGAAAATAATGTGTGATGTAATATTTATAAAACCAAATTCTTTACTTTTTTACTCCAAAAATGTCCATAAGGCGATGTACTTTTTCTTCCATTGTGGCATTTGGCATAATTTCATCAAAATGAAGTTTTGCCCTAAAAGGGCTTTTACATTCGAATTCGTTGCTATTATTTTTGGCATAATTATCTTTTTACTTATAATTGACAAGTAAATTATCAATAATAAATATTATTGTCAATTTGACAGTGTCAAAGTATTTAATTAAATTCTTTAGCAGAAGTACCATTTTTAAATACTAAAAATACTAAGTCAAACCGGCATAAGCCACCAACCTAACAAAAAAACACGAGTCCAGATAAAAAAAATGAACTGTATGTTTGGTTCAGAAATTGATGAGTCAGGGTTGCCAGATCAGTCAACGGAATTTACCCAATCGGAATTCAAAAATCCCCTAAATTTAGGAATTAAAAACAAAAATCCTTCTAAAAATACTTCTTATATCCCTCATATTTAGGGAAAATCTCCTCATTTGGCAACCCTGCAATGATGACTAATATGGCGGCCATAGATAAAAACAAAGATGTGGTGGTGGTAACTTAAAATGTAGAAGGCAAAAATAATCCCAAATTGGGAGAAAACGTTAAGTTTGTTTTCAATTTTTTTGAGAATACCCATATAATATAATAGATGCTCCACACCTCAAAGTCCCACCACGTGACCACGTACGGAACGCAGTCTTTTAAAAATTTGGCATTTAAGGCTTTTCAGGTTATGAATCTGTCAAAGTATAGTCAACGAAAAATTTTTTTTTATGTTAAGGCGTTAAAAATGTATAAATCTTTATAACATTACAATAACAATGGATGGTTTAAGAATTTAAGAATATAAATACTGCATTTAATGAAATTCTAAAGTGTATGGTGCCAAATGAGTAATATTTTTGTGCATTTGGTCCAAATATCTGGTTTTCTCCATAAAATAATTTTAACTAAACAGCATTTATTAAAAAAAATCTATTATGGAATAAGAATATCTGTTTTGAAGGTAGGTTAATATATTATAACAAAAATATCATCTAATTTTGTAATTTTAAGGTTAGAAAAATTTATTTTGACCAAAATAAATAAGTATTTTGGATTATTTAAAAGACTGTATAATATGGTAGTTAAAAATGTGTTAGTTTTTCTTATCCAGCTTAAAGTGTACCTACTAAAGTGTTGTCAATACAAATAGTTAAAAAGCTTCGACTGAATTTGATCTACATCAAACAATCATTATAACTTTAATATTTTAATAAATCACATGTCATGGGAGTATTAAATATTTTCACATTGCAAGTTTCTCTAAAAATTGTTTGTTTTCTTATAATCTAACTTAAAGTAGGTATGCAGAGAGGAATGCACAAGTTTTGTCGTTAGAAGTATAAAAGCTTCAATTTAGGTAATTTGAATCATATTCAACAATTATTTAGTATACCTATATTTATTTAGGACCATATTAACACTCTCGTCCAAATAATCCACTGATTTATTTTGGTCAAAATAGATTTTTCTTACCTTAAAATACAAAAATTAGATGATATTTTTTGTTCTATTACATTAACCTACCTTTGATACAGATATTCTTATTTCATAATAGAGAAGTTAGATTTTTTTTATAAATCCTGTTTAGTTAAAACTATTTTATGGAGAAATGTAGACCCAATGCACAAAAATATCACTTATATTGCACCTTACACTTTGGAATTACATTACATGCAGTATTTATATTTCTAAATTCTTAAAGCAACCATTGTTATCGTGATACCATAAAGATTTATTAACTTTTAACGCTTAAACATAAGCGGTAACACTATAAATATTATTTCTTTCGTTGACTATACTTTGACAGAAACATAACCTGAAAAGCCTAGTACGTGGTCACGTGGTGGGACTTTGAGGTGTGGAGCATAGTACATAGAAGGATACTGTATACAGGATAACTGGTAAAGTTGCAAACTTGTTTTATTAGTCTCAAAGTAGAGTATACCAAATGTACTTACAACTTTTCAACATATTCATCAAATCCGCAGGCGTAATACAGTTTTCGATCTCGTGCATTCCCTTGGGAATCAAACCGAGATTCTCGTACATAAAAATGGCGACGAAATTCGCCAGCATCGTCTTGCTGATCGTGGTCATGAAAATCGAGCCGTTCGGCTTCAAACATTTCAAGCAGGCTGTCAAAAACTCATCCTTCTTCGTGACGTGTTCAATGACCTCCGACGCGACGATGACGTCATACTGGCCCGCGTGACGTGACGCGTAATCCTCGATTTTCGACGTGACGTACGCGATGTCGAGGCCTTGCAGATGCGCGTGCGTCTGGGCCCTCTTGATTCGTTTCGCGCTGTAATCGACGCCGGTTAACTTGATCCTGCTCGACAGCTTCACAATTGCCTCTGCCAAAATTCCAGCTGAAGATTTATAACAAATCAAATAAATACAATACAAGAAGAATGTCTTCTTTAGCTTGATTAAATTGACCATATGCAAGGAATGTTGTCGATGTTGCCAATGGTAAAAAAATAAAATTCCCTATTGGGAACATTCAATTATATTACGTTGGCTACATTGAAAATTTGAATTTCCCGCACAAACTAAATTAATTTCCATCTTTTTTTTTAATAATACTAAATAATAATAATTCCCACACTTGAAATTAGCACCTTAATTTATTATACAACATTGGAACTACCTTCTTTATCTCTGGGAACTACTAGAATGTATGTCAGTTTGTGCGGGAAATTCAAAATTTCAGTGTAGCCAACGTAATATAATTGAATGTTCCCAATACAAATTTTATTTTTTTTACCATTGGCAACATCGACCGCATTCCTTGCATATGGTCAATTGCTTGTATGCAAATTCACTTACTCCCGCATCCCACATCTAGTACGTTGACTATTTCAGTTTGACAGCTGTCATCTTCTGTCAAAATGCCGTCGTTTAACAGGCCTTCTTTGATGAAAGGCACTCGTATGGTGTTCATCTTCTGTAGTAGGTTTAGAGCCATTTTGTTTGACAGTTCTTCACTGGAACTATAACAAAATTAGAGATTGCGAATTTATTAATTTATGCGACATTTCTTATTAATCACAATGGTCAACATTTGTTTGCCTCCTTTTGGAAAACCCATTTTGATTCCGTGTTTAAACGCCATTAGTCTCAATTTACATGATTTGTAAATAATAATTAAAACACATTTTTCAATTAGAATGTAGGCAGGCAACCCAGATTACAGATCCATTTCTTATGATTAAATACTGATATTTGCTACATTATTGCTTTTAAAAAACGATTTTTTTGTATGAATACATTTATATTAGTAAAATTGTTGAGCATATTTGATCACATATGTAATTATTTACAAGGTTAAATATAATGCGGTATGTTTAAACAAATTGTTATTCAAGCTTTGAAGTAATACCAAAAAAAATATGATTTCAAGGCCAAATCCATTAATAATTGGCTTGTAAAAATCATGTTTAATTACTTTGTTGATTGCATCTCATTGAATTTGCATTGTTATAAACAACAATGCCAAAATAGCAAAATATAAAATTTTTGTTAGTATTATTCTAACAAAAAAATCCAATAAACTTTGTTGACGTAATTTTCACCATTAACGTTGCCCGTTATTATTTTAATTAAACTTAACAATTATTGATACTTTAAAATATTAATAATATGTTTAGAAAATATGTTAACCTTTGATTTTTTTTATTAGGTACTATAATTGCAAAATATTATCACAAAGTATTAAAAATTATTAAACGGGAAATGTTAAAGGTACAAAAAGTGACAGTTGTATTTATTGGAATTCCCGTTAGAATTTTTCTGTGTACATAAAAATTTATCCCTCGAAAATAGACTAACAATCGATATAGAAGCAGATTTTTACAGTAAAAAAAATGAGAATGTTTAAAGGGCACTGTACGCACAATTTTTATCAGTTAAATCCAAAGTTAATTTTTTTTATCTGGTAAATACGGAACAAATTATTAATTTTATTTATTATTTGTAAAACCAAAAACGTTACTTTTTTCTCCAAAAATGTCCATAAGGCGATGTACTTTTTCTTCCATTGAGGCATTTGTCATAACTTCATCGAAATGAAGTTTTCCCTTAAAAGTTCTTTTACTTTAGAATCTGATATTATTTTTGGCATAGTTATCTTTTTATATCGATATTATATAATAATTAACAAGTAAATTATCAATAATAAATATTACCGTCAGTTTGACAGAGTCACGAGTATTTAATGAAGGTCTACAGCAGAAGTACCATTTTTTAAATACTAAAAATACTAAATTAAACTGGCACAAGCTACTAACTTAATAAAAACACAAGTCCAACTAAAAAAAAATGAGCAGTAGTTAACTGTCCTACTACCGCGAAATAAAAAGGTCAGTACAGAAAATTTTCTAAATATCGGTGTCAGTTTGTCAAATTTTTCTGTCAAAATCGAAATTTCTCTCTTGAAAATCCACTAACAAACATTTAAATCGGATATAGTAGCAGTTTTTTTACAGTTAAATTGAAGAGAATGTTTAATGGTTGCCCCCTAAAATTGTTAATGCTTTATCGGTCTTTTAGGTATGCATAATATATAGGTATATTATTTTTCTATTGATAATACTTAATATATTAATATTAATATGTTATTTGCATAGGTATGGCATATAATGTAGATAATAGGGTAAAGTAAGGTATTTTCGTGGTATAGGTTAGTTCGTGATAGAAATAAATATAACCTGTTATGCATAAATAAGCCGTCTTTTTTGCTAGGTTTTTAAGTTTTCTTTAAAAAAAAGAACCTGAATCTAAAGCCAAACATTAAGGTCTTAGGACTCTGACAATAACAACATAAATGCATGCCATTTATATTACTTTGTATAGAGCGCCATCTATGAAACAATAGGGGAATCTGTGTGTCACCGTCAAATGTCACATTTTTATATTTTATAAACACAGATTATAAAGGTTATAAATCGAAATGTATTTCTTGAAAATTGACAGTTTTTCACATAAAAGTAAAGAAAATGTTTTATGAGGACTTTACAGTGGAGTCCGTGCCCGAATTTAAGTTATAGTTACTGCCGGCGAAATTAAAAGGTCAGTACAATGTTCATATAAACTTTTCAAATATTGGCGTTGAGAAACTATTTTATACTTTTGTATTTTCGTATTGAGATAATAAAATAATTTTCACATTTAGTATTATTTTACAAGAAAGGCACTTTATTTTAACGATTGTATGACATTTGACAACTGTCAACTAACTTAAAACTAACTTCAGCCCGCGACTAAAAACCTGTTGCTAACTTCAGCCCGTGACTAAAGCGCCATAAAGCCACAACTTGTCAATGTGTATTTAAAAGGTCACCTAGTGCCATGAAAACGTACGATAAAGGGCGTTTTAAAGGTGGGAGTAGAAAAATTATTTTTTCTAAATATAAATAATATAATATAAACACTGTACCACCTAGTTTCCGTACACCCTCTAGTATATTAAAATGATTACTTTTTTTAGGTTAGGTTGCGTAGATTTCACCGACCCCCCTACAAAACCAACCCCTGACCAGGGCTACACAAGATCCCTGTTTTTCCCTGACGAAGTAATTTTTCAAGGTCACCCGCGCTTCAGGACTTTATCCAGGAATATCCGGGAACGCCGAGGCGAAAAGGTCGCCATTAACTTGCCTGGTAAGCCCAAGAAAAAAGTATAGTGCATTCATCAACTGAAAAATGTTTGAAATACAAGTTTTTTGCCTATATCTTTTATGTTGGTTGAGCTAGGGTCTTACAATTTGGTGTGTAATTCAAGAAGATTCATCAGAATTTTGTATTAAAATTTGACACATTTATCCTGGCAAATTTCCAAATTATAGAGAAATACACGGAATCCCACTCTTTTCTAGTTAGTGAATATACTATATCTCTTGGTTTTAAGTTTTAACGTCAAAATAAAAATTGACATTTAAAAGTGAGGTTAAATTTTTTTTGTTCAAGTGTTCAAAGACAAAAACACTGTGATACCCGTGGACGATTCCCACAAAAAGAGCAAAGCTGCGTTGCCAGATCACGTCTACATGGACGCGATGGGTTTCGGGATGGGATGCTGCTGTTTGCAGCTGACTTTCCAGGCTTGCAACATAACGGAAGCTAGGACACTGTACGATCAACTTACCCCTCTTTGTCCCATAATGGTAAGTTTTGTTCTGTTATTTTTTTTAAGTTTCCAAAATGATGTCAATATTCAAGAACAATCAATTACTTTTGACTTATTAAGGATATATATGGGTGATTCTATAAAAGTTGGACAACTTGATGTCATCAGTCAATAGAGTAGGTATTTTAATATTTTTTGTTCAGGTTTTTTCAACTTGTCCACCCAATTTTAATGTATTTTTTCAAAAGCACGTTTGTAGAAAAACATAATAAATATTCAAAACATCAGTACCTTGGCGTGTCACAACTCCTGAATCAAATATTTGAGTGATTTTATTTTAAAATATATTCAATTTATCTTAAATTTTTCAATTTCACTACAAACTATAAAACATTGAATAATGTATTTTTCATTTTTTATCATAGATTCGAATAATAGCAATTTTTAAAAAATTGATAAACTTTGTACTCACTTTTACCCGTCAGTTCTGTGTCCAATGCTAAAATTCAAAATTCCTGCGAAATATTGAAGTTTAAACGTCCTCGTTTTAACTCAAGTGTTGGTAAAAAATTACCTACAGAGCACGCCCTTTGCACGACAGTCATCTTGAACAATGCAAGCGGCGAAGTTGTGGTAAATGCACGTATAGTTCCAGTCAAAATATCAGTACTGTGGTGAGTAGTTATTTTCTTACATATTGTATATTTCATTGTAATTTATATAAGGCTATATGTGATTTGTTGATAAGTAGCATCCACTAAGAAAAAATGTCAGTAAAATACTTAATTCTGAATTATAATGTCAAATTTATATCCCATTCATCCCGTGTCGTCAGTTCCATGTTCGATGTTTCGGTTATCTTTTTTTCGCAAACTTCAATTTAAATTCTGCTTGCGCAGAACTTCTTTATTTAATGTCATTATAAACTCATATAAATTTGGTGTGGGTCTCATATCTAATAATTGAGATATCAGTATACCCAAAATCCACCAGCCGCCACTGATGTGTGGTATTATTTGATTTTAAGATATTTAATGTATAATATGCTCAAAGTTGCAATATATCTTATATTTTCCAATAAATTATGTATTTAATTAGTACCCTGGTATATTTCAGAAGCTGTTTGAAAAAGTGACTGGCCTGGTCTGGAACAGTATATTTATTATATTATATATGTTCTCATAACAAAATACTGTTTAATTTTCTCTGAAAACTATATAAACAAAATGAGGTCAAAAGTTGCCCAACTTTTGTAGAATCACCCATATATATAATATAAATGTAACGAAATCTCACCTTTTTCCTTATCCAATAAAAGACACTTCGAAACTAAATTATAGAATAAATGGTAATACAAGCGCATTTGCCATTTATATAACAAAGTTCATTTGCATATATAAAATAAAATATTAATATACCTATAGATAAGGCTGAAGAATTTCAGTATGCATTTTTATACAATTTATGTAAACAAACAAGTTTTTATAAGCATACCAAAATATTTTTTTTAATAATTCAAATAATGAAAAATATAAAGGAAAATAAAGGCACATTTTTAATTAAATCATTTTTAAATCCAACTTGAAATAAAGTCATAATACTTCGTTTTCAACTTGTAAATTCAATGAAATACAAATATCAGCTTAAACTTAAAATATATTTGCAAGCGTTTTATATCTAAATTTGCTCACAGTCAATTAAAAATATTAAATGTGATTTTTTATTCAATTGCAAATATTGCTGTGATAATTTTAATTCAGTTTCGCAAAAAACTAGGAAATCCAATCTTTTATTTTTATTTTAAAAATAAATTCGTACCAAGTGGTAAAATATTTTATATCATATTGAAAATTCGTTAATTTAAAATATTGTTCAATATTTTTAATTTAATTTTAAATACTAAATTAGATTTTTAATTCCAAATTAAAAATCCCTTCGATATTTAAAATTAAAATATCAAAACCATATGTTTAATGAATTTTTTATTTTAGTTAATATTAATAAGAAATGATATAGTTTAATTTTGTATTCAGGAATTATTTATTTCTCCATTGAATTTCATGTATCTCTAAATGAATTTCAGTTATGTAACTTTAAATTTGAGATATCTCTAAATCAATTTCATATATGTACATATGAAAAATTAATTTCAGATATGTGAAATAGTTTCAAATGTGATATTTATTTATAAATAAATGGTAAAGTGATATTTTTAATTCCCTGAATATAAAATATCATGGGACAAATTTATAATTGGAACTAGCAACATCATAGTAAAAATTTATAATTCAAATTATAAATATTATGGTGGAAATTCTTGAACGAATTAAAAATATCAGATAACTTTATAATTCAAATTAAAAATATCATAGGAGATATTTTTAATTACAATTATAGGAGAAATTAATTAAAAATATTATAGTAGAAATTAATAATTCTAAAAAAATATCATAGAACATTTTTTTAAATTAGATTTATTATTAAAATAACAAATAAAAATAGTAATAAAAATTCAATGTCAAATTTCTAATTCTTCGCGAATTTAAAATATTTTGCAAGATATTTTTAATTCATTTAAAAATTTCTCCTGTGGTATTTTTAATTCCATTATTAATTTCTCCCATGATATTTTTAATTCGAATTAAATATGATATTTTTAATTCATTTCAAAGTTTCTGCCATGATATTTTTAAATCGAATTATAAACTTCTGATATGGTAAAAAATATTCATTAAAAATTTCTTTTATGATAATTCCAAATATAAATTTTTAATTCAACAAATTAAAAATATCACTTTAACTTTATGTCCTATGATATTGTTGCAATAAAATTTAATGCAATAAATTAAAGTTTAATGCAATAAATTAAAGTTTTTATTTGATATTATAAATAATTTAGAGATATGTGAAATTCAATAGAGAAATAAATAAAACGATATTTTTAATTCAAAGGCATATTTTTTAGCCTTGAATTAAAAATGTTGTTTGATGTTTTTAATTTAATTTTAAATATCAAATGAGATTTTTTAATTTCGAATTTTAAATATTTTTTTAAATTAAAAATATTTTTAATTTTAACTTAAAACGATTCTATATCCTTTCCTAAAAAACTAAAATAAAAAATGTCTGGCAATTAAGAATAGGGTTTTGACATTTTCTATTCAATTAAAAATATGGTTTTGAGTATTGAATAAGATTTTTAAATTCAGAATTAAAAATCTTTTTGGATAGGTATTAAAAATAATCAACATTAAAAATATTAATCTATATTTTTAATTCAACGAATTTCAAATAAGATATAAAAAAAAATAAAAATTAAAAACACTCTTTTCCCATTATTGTTTTATGTTTTAAGTAAATTAAATAAATGGTTTGATATTAAAAATTACTCTTTCCACATTTTACAAGTTTTTGCTAAAATTTTAAATTATATTGACAATTTAAATTTGGCCGAAAGGCCAAAACTATGGTTGATTGGATTAATAAAAGAGAGTTTTATAAAAAAAAATAAAAACCAAACACGTTACATCTCTGATCATGAGACAACAAAATTTAAACTTGTTTTTGTTAAGTCATTTCATTAAATAATAATTAAACGATAAAGCACATTCAACATAAAAAAATTGATTATGCAATTACTTTTTGAAATGTTATTTATATTTATAATTAATTTTATTGCTTACACTATTAAGTTTTACTACAAAATCATGAAATTTCCAATAATATCTATTTTATTTAAAACATGTAAAATTGGACGCCTTTCTGCAGAAAGGAACCAACCCACAAAACCAAAAAAATCGAGATATTTAGCCTATGAACTAATTAAGTATGTATAATTTATCTGCAAAATAGGTCATAGCCAAAATGCAAGTGTAGTGAAATCTATTAATCATTGAACTAACCAACATTCAATAATAGTGTGGATTACTAATCCAGAATTAGAATCTGTAGAATATCTGCAAGTGGGTTGGATCTTTTTTGTAAAATAGCAGGCTGGTAGACCCACTACCAAAGTCTTTAAAGATTTCCTGCTTCTGCAAAATATAAAGTCTTGATGCATTTTTTTGGTAGCTTACAAGATGAGGTGGGGTTGGAAGATGATGTGGACGAATTTCAAATAGAATCAAAATTAATTCATATTACCATTATAATAGTAATATCAGTTGTATTTTGTTTGGAAATAAATAATTGTCGCTTTTCTTTAAATACATACATACATCAGATAGTAGTTTTCATAAATTGCAGAAAGGAACCAACCAACAAAAGCCCATTTTTTTCGTCACCCTTACACATAACATCACAAAATCCACCTGATGAAATTATTAAATTATATCCCTTAAACCTCCGTAAGTCCAAAATCGGCATAAAATTAACAGGTAATTTTAAAATTATTAAAATCTTTGATAGCTTTTTTCTCAGTTTCATCATGGTGTGGGTTGGTCCCATTCTGCAGAAAGCCGTCCATATATGATTTATTATCTATGATTTACATAACTCTAAAAATTATTGGTGTTACTCATAGACCTATAAAACCTTTATGGTCTAAGGTGTAAAAAATGCCTGACAATTAAAAATAGGGTTGTTTTTTATTTTTTATTTAATTATTAATATCGAACTATATTTTTAATTTAAAGAATTTTTAATAAGATATGAAGTACAAATTACTATTTTTTCTACTATTGTTTTATATTTTTAAGTCAGTTAAATATATTTTTTCTGCTCCCACCTTTAAAACTCCATTAAATTTTATCGTACATGTTTCCATGACACTAAGTGACCTTTTAAATACACATTGACAAGTTGTGGCTTTACGGCGCTTTAGTCACGGGCTGAAGTTAGTTTTAAGTTAGTTGACAGTTGTCAAATGTCATACAATCGTTAAAATAAAGTGCCTTTCTTGTAAAATAATACTAAATGTGAAAATTATTTTATTACCTCAATACAAAAATATTAAATAGTTTCTCAACGCCAATATTTGAAAATTTTATATGAACATTGTACTGACCTATAAATTTGACATTTGACAGTTTCCCCTGTTGTTTCATAGATGGCGCTCTATACAAATTTTTGATTTAAATCATTTTAAGATAATAATAAGTATTTGTCGTAGAAAAAGTATAGTATGCACCTCGTTTATAAACTTTTCTATACATTCATTAATTTAATAAATTAAATTCGTGTATAAAATGGCGTTTATCAAACTTGATACATAATATATAATATACTAGTTTGATATTAAAAATTACGGAATAAAAGACGCTTTGGCGCATAGTTTACAAGTTTTTGCTAAAATTTTACTGCCAGATTAAATTTGGGTTTTTTTTCAAAAAAGGGAACAAAACTAAATTTGAAAAGAACAGTGATAAAAACGTAAATAATAACAAAAAACGTTACATCTCTGGTTATGAGCCAACAAAAATTATACATGTTTATTAAAAATATAATAATGATTCTTTCCCTCATTATAATATGAACCAATCAAAAGCCTTGAATTTTCGAATAAATTTTGTTTAAATAAGCGATTAAATCACTAGACCTTTTTAACAGCGATTAAATTTTAGCCTCCAAATTGGATTTTTGTTTACGATTTTATGGTGTTATTTACAAGTTTTAACAAACATTTTTTTAAAAACAATAAAAAATAAGTTATCTAGTTTACGAAATATCAATTATTACTTATTACATACCTTAAATTAATGGAATTTTCTTTAAAAAAATATTTATAAACTTTGACACATACGTCAGATTTTATGAATGGTCAAATAGTTTCCTTTAATTCGAGAAATAATCTAGACGTATATCACTCAACCTATAAATTTAATCTGTCAAACTATGCTCAGTAAGTTTTTTATTTGATTTTTCTTTTTGGAAAATAGTTTCATGCAAAATAATTAAAAATAAAACCCCTCGACCGCTACGCGGTCTCGTGATTTTATTAAATTATTTTGCATTCAAACAAAAAACTACTGAGTCTAGTTTAACCGATTAAATTCATAGTTCTCGTGATATAATAGGTTCATTCCAACCAGCAGTAATTTCCAGTAATATTACTGATACACATGCGCGTTTGTAAAATGTCGTTCCAACCAACTAAAATTACTAGTTTAGAACTGGCAATTACTGTCAGTTCGTCGTTCCAACCAGAGTTACGAACAGTTAAATTACGGTTCAAACGATTCTTGCTCGAGAGCAAGAACTGTTGTTAATAAAATTAGACGCATGCGTAGAAGGGGCACATAACCTCATCTTTTTGTTTATTTATTAACGTTTGTAATATTGTAAGTTTGTTTTCTGTTAAAGTGGACATATTATTTAAAAATGACTGCTATACAAGGTGATTTTATTAATTTTTAATGTTAATACATCTAATTTTTGTCATTTGTGAGCAGGAATGGAAGAATTTATTATCAATGTGTGATGTTATTAAAATATACTTTTATATATATTTATAAACTCAACAAACGTGGGTTATATTTATTTCTAGTAGCAATGTCCCCAATAAAATCTAAATTCCTTGTCATCCGAAGAATCATACAAGTAATTATTTAAAAAACCTGCCATATTTATTACTTTATTGAAATAGATATACCTATATGCGCTTTACTTAGCTTTTAGCACAATACAATTGTGGGTTTTGGGTTATATTCTTTTTCTTCTGATTGTAAGTACTACCAGTTCAAAAAAGGTTCCAACCAGTTTATACATTATTCAAAATAATTTTACTATTTTTGTTCGCGCAGTCGCATTAACGCTGTTACGGACGATAATATTACGGTAATATTACTGCTGGTTGGAATGAACCTAATATATGATTAAACGATAAAACACGTTCAAAATAAAAACATAATTGATTACTGCATTTTAAAATGTTATTTATATTTATTGGAATTAATTGTATTGCTTACACTATTTAGCTTTACTACAAAATCCAATAATATACATATATTTTATTTAAAACTTGTAAAATAAGCTTTACTGATTGTATCTCACCACTGTTTGTTTTATTGTTTTGTATATAAGCAACGACTACATCCACCAAAAGTAGACAGTTTACATGACTGGCGTTACTCGTAGCACGGTCTAAGGTGTAACGTGTCTTTTCAGCTGGCTTTGACGGCCGCCTCCCCCCTCCACCGCGGCTTCCTGACGGACGTCGACTGCCGATGGAACGTGATCTCGGCCTCGGTCGACTGCCGGACCGAGGAGGAGCGAGGCTTGCGGCCTCTGAAGAGCAACAAGTTCGTGATCAAAAAGTCGCGCTACGACTCGATAGACTCGTATCTGTCGCCGGCCGGGGAGATGTACAACGACGTGCCTTTGATCTACGACGAAGACGACTATCGGCTGCTGGTCGGCAACGGCATCGACCACCTGCTCGCGCAGCACATCGCGCATCTCTTCATAAGGGACTCGGTCTCGCTTTTTTCGGAGAAGGTCAATCAGAACGACGAGGAGGACGCCGACCATTTCGAGGTACGTTGTCTCCAAAAACAATTTACAGTCCAAACGTCAAAATAAACCATTTTGACAATCAAAAATCTCACCAAAAGTTACCCTACAAATACATAATGCGAACGGCTAACAGTTATCAGTAGGGAATTGCGTGAAGCACGGTGGTCAAAACTAAAGTATAGGACGAACAAAAATGCCAACCAAACCTTATAGCATAATCTGATTATAGACTCTTTTGGTAACACAAAAATGTATTTATCAAAATCCCAGCTGATCCTTTATTAAAGTTTTGCATATTTCTTAGTATTTTAAAATTGTTTATGCCATTTCGATAAAATACTCTGGTACCACTGGTATCAAATGTTTTTAAAAATTTGGCAGATACATGACTGAAATATGGATAAATTACATTATAAATACAAAATAATGTAAAATACAGTTTGCAATATCTTATTTATTGTTTTAAGGTACCTAATACAAAACTAATAAATAACTAAAGATTCTTTGAAGCAAAATCGATTACTGCTTCCCTTAAATTTTCAGTAAAACTTTTTCGTTGAAATTGTTTTTAACATGGAAACAGTATTTTTAAATTCTTCAGTCTCTGTACAAACATTCTTCTTACATCTAGCGATATCCCCTAGATCCCCCCTCCCTTAATAATTTTTTATGCCCTTTATATCTTGCCATTTTGCAGATAAAGCACATACATTCTTGGCTGCCGCTAAATTCTCTGGCAATTTCTAAATTTTGAAAATTTGGCAATTGTGGCTATGCAAAAATACCGTTTTTACCATATTGAAGTAGGTAATTTTGAATCACTTAAGTTAAAGTGTTCATTTGAAAAAGTCTGCAGTAATTTTTATATTTTCTCAGAAACCCTAAACTCTGAATTTTTCGATTACCAAAAACAATTTTGCCATGGCTTCACTTGAATTTCGGTTTAATTTTCATTTTAAAATACTATTTATAACTTTATAAAGTATACATTAAATAAACAACTAAAGCAAAATGTCACTTGCGTTATAACGTATAGCAATTTTTTTCATAACCACCTTAATTATTGTTTTACAAAATTTGCAAGTTGTAATTATTTCATAGACAAACTTCCAGTATTTGTTATAAAAAATATTTAAGATATAAATCTTCGTGTTTTTTTTGTTATGTATTATTTTGAGTGGTAAAAAATAATAGGTGACTCAATAAATTAATACTGGGGAGTAAAGTAATTTAAAGGATACAAAGTTTATTATTTTGCTTAATTTTATTAAAATTGTACAGGTAGTTTTAGTACAATAATTGCAAAATAATATATAGAAATAGAAAAACAAAAGGGTCTATAATCAAAATATGCCATCAGTTTTGGTTGGCATTTTTGTTCGTCCTATACTTAAGTTTTGACCACCGTGGAAGGTAAGGTTAACTTTGATGTTCAGTGGGCGCCAAAGACTTGCTTGCCTGAGAGGGGCTGTTAGCCAATATTTAAGGTTTTTTATCTTGCATTATTCATAAATTGCGGCGATGTTTGGTACATAATCATTATCAAGCATAGTGATTATCTTAAATTAATTAGTTATCATGAATGAATTACTTTTTCATAATTAATACCTAATTAATTACAATTATAAATGATAAATAATTATTTATAAATGAGAATACGACAAATCACATTAGGGGTCACACCAAACAAATAAATATTATTTTTTTTGTAATATTTTAAATATTTTTATGATTTGTTTTTTAAATTATCATAATAATATCGAACTACAAATTTTGCTGTACTAAATTGTTTGCTAAAATTAATTTATTTAGAAAAAACCGAAAATTAAAAAAATCTTTGTGTGACGTGAGAATTTGGTGGGAGGGAGGTAAAAATTTGACAATAAATGTTACAAGGGGGCAGAGTGTCTAAAATCGATTTCTAAAAACTTCACAGGTTAAACTTTAAACATTCAATTTGTGTAAATAAATCCAAAAGCACTTCCCTTAGTAAAGATATTTACAATTTGAGCACATAACCTAAAATTTGAAAGAAATTCACTAGATTCTGTCATAAGAGTTGGCAGATTTTGTTTGAATTTACCTTCATTACAAAAATGACATAATAAACAATTAATAAAAACGCCAAATTAACAATTTGCATTTGCATTTTTGTAATTAAGCTAAATTTAAACAAAATTCGGCAACTTTTTTGACAGAATCTGGAAACGCATATTTAAAATTTATGTTTTTAGAACATCCAATCGACGAACTGGCAAACGATGAGGTTCAAACCTCCTCCGCCAAACTCGACAATCGGTTGGAGAGTCGAGTTCAGACCGTGCGAAGTCCAACTGACGGATTTCGAAAACGCGGCCATCGTGTGCTTCGTCGTTCTGCTCACCAGGGTCATTCTCTCCTACGAGCTCAACTTTCTGATACCCATCAGCAAGGTAAGCGAGAAAACGCGACAACGTCGCTTTCGAATGTCAAAATTTGACAGTTGAAACGTCAAAATCTGACAGTTGAAACGTCAAAATTTGACAGTTGAAACGTCAAAAAGTGAGGTTATGGACGTATTTTTTTTCGACAACAGGTCGACGAGAACATGCAGAACGCGCAGAAACGGAACGCGAACTTGGAGCAGAAATTCTGGTTCAAGAAGGACATAACGACGACCGTCAGCCCGCCGGAAGCGAACGAGTATTGCAAAACGTCGCACGGAGAAAATTCCGCAACGGAGGCAGACATTTACGACGCCATGACAGTTAACGAGATCATCAACGGAAAGGTAGGATAACCTAACTTTTAAATGTCACTTTGACGTTTAAAAGTTGTTTTTTTATCATAACCCAACTTTTAAATGTCAGTTTGACGTCTACAAATTTATTCTTGATTATTTCGCTCATTGCAAAATGAACCAATTAAAAGCCTTGAATTTTCGAATAAATTTCGTTTAAATAAGCGATTAAATCACTAGAACTTGTTGAACTTTGTGTGACTAAAGGGCACAAAAAACACCACTTTTACAAACTTAATGCCTTTTTATTGAAAGCAAAAATACAGCTTGAATTAATCTGACAGTTGTTAATTATTTTTATTGTTTCTTCCAACAATATCACGCCAGGTGTTCGGTTGCCAGATTGACGAAAATAACTAGATTCTCAACACTTTCCCTTATTTGAAGTCAAGGCTATTGAAGTCCTAACTTCTCTCGAAGAGCTTGAAGTCTAGGGCGGGGTACAGGCTTTGTTAAAATATCCGCCAACTGATGTTCTGTTCCGATGTGGGCCACGTTTAGCATTCCCTTTCTGATCCGATCTCGGATGAACAAATACTTCCTCTGTATATGTTTGGTTCTGAAGTGAAACTCAGGATTTTCGGAGAGTTTTCGGGCCGACTCATTGTCAATATTGAGTACAGGAATTGTAGATAACCCAATAAGTTCCTTGAACAGTCGTGTAATCCAAATAGTTTCTTTTGAACCAAGATTTGCAGCTACTATTTCTGCTTCACATGTTGAATCAGCAACCAACTCCTGTCGACGACTCAGCCATGTAATTGCTGCTCCAGCGAATTTCACAATTACTCCGCTAGTTGAGCGCATCGTGTTGGGACAACCAGCAAAGTCAGCATCACTGTAGCACTCAAGTTGACGAATCTTTGGCTCACACTTGTATGTCAATTTCAAGTCTATGGTACCGGCCAAATAGCGAATGACTCGTTTTGCTCGTACAATATCCTCTTCTGTTGGATTTTCCAAATGTCGAGACAAAACACCAACACTAAATGCAATGTCATAGCGGGTTCCTCGAGCAACATAGAGCAGCGCTCCCACAGCTGAACGATATGAAAAATCAGAAGCTTTCCCTGGTCCTTGCGCGCTAAGTTTCTCCATTGGCGTAGAAACTGGATTGCATCCTTCCATGTTGAATCGAGAGAGAATTTTCTTGATGAACGCCCTTTGGTTGACCATTATGTCACCATTCTGTCGATTTATTTCGAGTCCTAAAAAGTAGGACACTTCTTTCACAACGATATCAAATTGTGAACATAATTGCTTGATGAATAAGTCCTTTTCAGACTTACTGTTCGCTGCAACTAATCCATCATCAACATACAATACAACGATGATTTTTCCAGATGGAGTGTGGCAGATATACACACAAGGATCCTCACGACTCTGAATGAATCCCAAACCAATTATGAAATCATCAAACCGTTTGTTCCAGCAGCGCGGAGCCTGCTTAAGTCCGTACAAGCTTCGTTTCAGACGACAAACTCGATTGGTTCCATCTTCAAATCCTTCAGGCTGCTTCATGAAGATTTCTTCCATAACGTCACCGAACAGAAACGCTGTTGAGACATCAAATTGGCACAACGTCATCTTTTCCACAGCTGCGATGGATAACACGGATCTGACAACCTCTAAACGTGCAACCGGACTAAAGGTTTCAGCATAATCTAAGCCAGGTCGTTGAGCACATCCCTTGATGACCAATCTCGCGCGATACTTGTCAACACTTCCGTCAGGATTACGCTTAAGACGGTAGACCCATTTGTTGCTGATGGCCTTCTTTCCCGAAGGAAGATCAGTCAATTCCCATGCATCGTGTTTATACATTGACTTTATCTCTATGTCCATGGCTGATTTCCACTCTTTGCTGTCCTCGGATTTTACAGCTTCATCAAAGGTTGTTGGCTCATCTTCAGTCAGAAAAACTTCAGCTACATTTGACACGACGTAGTCCTTTAACCAGTCAGGATTTTTCCTTTTTCGAATTGGTCGCTTTATCGGAGTTTTCAGAAGGAGAGAAGAATTATCAGAATCGTCGCCGGAATCCTGATCTTGATCTGAAGCTGCAGTTTTCTCATCAGATTTCTCCTCTTTTTCTTTTGGATCTTCTCCAAGGTCGCTATTGTCGATTTTCCTGACAGGCCAGACTGTCTCGCTGTCACAATTTCCAATCTTCTCCTGAAATATGACGTCACGAGAGAGAACAACATCTCTTCTCTCTGGGATGTATATCCGGTATCTCTCATCTCCATCATATCCAACAAGGTAGCCAATCATTGCCTTTGGATCCATTTTGCGTCTTTTTTGTGCAGGAATATGTACAAAGCATTTTGAGCTTACAATTCGCAAATGCTTGATCCGTGGTTTTTGACCAAACCAAAGTTCAAATGGCGTTTTACCAGGAATTGGAGACTTTCCCACTCGATTGAGAACGTAACCCGCTGTGATCACAAGTTCTGCCCAAACAGCTGCAGGGAATTTTATCTCGGAGTTTGAGTACTTGAATGCACGCGCCATTTCCACAATCGTGCGGTTTTCACGTTCCACGGCTCCATTCTGCTCTGGCGTGTAGGGGGCGGTCAATCGCTGATTTACCCCGTAATTCTTTAGAATTTGACGCACATCGCCATTGTCAAACTCCCCGCCATTGTCGCTGAGGAATTCCTTAACATGATGACCAAGTGTGCGTGCCTTAGCAAGTACCTCCCGAATAGCCTCCTTTACTGCTGTTTTCTCCTTGGCAACAAAGCAATAGCGGTACCTTGAATAATGATCCTTGATGACTATCAAATAGCGTCGACCATTAAACGATGGATCAAACGGGCCGCACACATCTCCAGATAATAATTCTCCAGGGTAAGAAGCTCGTGCTCTGGTTCCAAATGGTAAACGGTGTGCCTTTCCAAGCTGACATGGCTCGCAGATCTCGCTGTCAGCAGGCACTTTGATACCTAGTTCCGATTCGATCTTTGAACGAACGTAACGCTTGTCCATGTGTCCCCAGCGCTGATGATACAGTTGAAGAGTTTGATCAGCTTCAGCTATACTAGCACAGACTTCCGCCGGTTGAACTGTCCGGAATGAGGCGCGGAAGAGAGTTCCACCCATATTCCGAGTACCCTTGAATATTGTCTGTCCCTTGATACAAAATTTGCACTGTGTGTCAGTAGACTCAAACTTGCTATCAGGATTTCGATCATGAGCCGCAAGGACGGACACAAGATTGCGTGATATGTCGGGCACATACCATACATCATTGAGAGTAAACACTCTTAGCTTGCCGTTATCGTAGTTAGCCACTTCGATTGTTCCACTGCCATGAGCCCTGATGACCTCTTTTCCTGCAGCCTTTACTGTTGCATCAGCATTCACTGGAAAGGGCTTGTAGTCAGTAAACCAGCTAAGATTTGACGTAATATGCCGAGTAGCACCGTTATCTATCCACCATTGATCGTTTGTGGTAGCTATGTTGACGTCACTACTGATAGAAACAAGCGCGACACGTGAATCAGTAACGTTGACGTGAGAACCCTTTGATTCACCCCCACTACTACCAGCCGAGGCTGAGCCAGTATTACTAGCACGCGCTGGATATGGAGGTTTTCCGTCAGCTTTCCATTTTTCACACTGGCGCACCCAGTGCCCTTTGGCGTTACAATATTTACATTTCGAATGGCTCAGTTTCTTCTTCTGACCACCAGGAGCGTTGGTGGCGCTCAGAACATCACCAATTTTTGATGCCGGTGCAACATTACGCTCATGAAGAATCAATGATGACGAGATATCTTCAATAGTTTTATCTTTATTTGCTTTCAGCAGGAGGTAGCTTGATTTAAACGACTCAAAACGCTTAGGTAAAATGTGCATTACCTTTGAAACAAACAGCAACTCAAGAAATGCCTCAACTGTTTGAATTTGACGTGTTTTCAAACCAGCAGCAAACTCTCGGTGTTGATTTTTCACTCGCGATATCATAGATGGGGCATTTTCGGTATCATCCCATTCCATGCTGAAGAAATCAAGACATTGACGAAACAACTGGTCCTCCGCCTTGTTATCAAACTGCTCAACTAAAACGTCCCACGCTTCCTTAGCTGATAATCTGCCTGATATTCGTTGGTGTAGTTCATCGCTCACGCATTGAGATATGACGATTTTTGCTTGATTCGCCGATTTCGTGTAGGCCTCTAGATCCTTTTTCTGCTCTGCAGTCGGTGTATCCGAGAGAGCAGGCTGAACTCTAGTTCCCTCAACGATTTTTACAGCATCAAACAACTCTAACACATCCAAAACTTTGTCTTTCCACGTCTGCCAATCTTCTGCCCCTTTCAGTGGTTTTATACCTTTCACGTAATCCATTTTATTTTAGAGCAGGACGTACTCGAACGATAATGGTATCGAAGAAAACACACAGGAACGTAATCGCGACGAAAGACACGTGAGGTAAACCGATTGTCCGAACCTCTAATCACAAACTATAGTTCACACGATAGCACACGAGCTGGCACCCATAACCTGTTGAACTTTGTGTGACTAAAGGGCACAAAAAACACCACTTTTACAAACTTAATGCCTTTTTATTGAAAGCAAAAATACAGCTTGAATTAATCTGACAGTTGTTAATTATTTTTATTGTTTCTTCCAACAATATCACGCCAGGTGTTCGGTTGCCAGATTGACGAAAATAACTAGATTCTCAACAGAACTATTTAACAGCGATTAAATTTTAGCCTCCATATTGGATTTTTGTTTACGATTTTATTTTTCTAATATATATATTTTTTTAATACTATTAAATACGCTTAAAAAGTATCGCTAGTAGCGCCACCACTCGGCTGTTATCATCGTAAAAAAGTATAACTTTTAATAATCAGCTGTCAAACGCTTATGTTACAAACGAGTGTTTTTGAGAATAAAAGAATAAAGGAAATTGTTTAAAAATATCGAAAAAAAAACCGAGAGGAAATCCTGGGTTGAGTTTTTACCGGTTTTCCAATAAACAGTGTTAATTTGAATGAAGAAATAAATTGCATACAGTCTCTGTAAATATAAATTGTACCTATTAGATACAATAAATACACATTTTAGTAGTGATTAACGTGAAAAGTGTAAACATTTCAATTCAGTAAAAATCGTCAAACAAATAAGTCGTCTAAATTTAAACAGCATTTAGCATTATTAAAAGCGTTGATTAAGAAAGTCTCCACTCAACGGTAAAATACCATTATATTATGTATTATTATAATATTATGTTGCCATAAATTCGTAGGTATATTTTGTTGTTTAAAATGCAGTTGTCGGCGTTTTTTAGAGAACTCAAACATAAAAATGGTTGATTTTAAGGTTATGTTTGTACAAAAATAATTTTTTACTAATTTCTTAAAAATGCCCAAACTTAAATATAAATTATATTAGGTAATTCTGCACCAACAAATGTACTTACCGAATTGGATCCTTTGGCAAAACATGAAAATGCAACGATTTAGTTCTTGAATTTTATTTACAATTAAAAACACAATAATTCACCATGATCCCTTAGATAAAATACACACACTAACGTAGCTGTATAAGCATTTAAGCGTTGAGTTTCTTAATCAATGATATAAAGAATAATCAATCGAAATCGGGTACTAAACCAGTTTTTTAGTTTTTTCCTTGCAACGTAAAACACAAATAACGTGCGCGATTTAGCTGTGCAATTGAACAAAATTTGTCGAGTTAATCTGCCTTCCTCTCTTTTGTGAAAAAACTACCTATTTATTTAAAAATGATACAGTTCGTATGCTTTAAATGTATTGTTGACATTTCTTGAATTCACGCAATGCTTTTAAACACCACCAGATGGCGCGCGCGTTGCTAAAACCCGATGTTTCTTTATAGTATTTGGGTGTAATTTATGTTTGTCTTCGTAGGAAGGTCAATTTCCAGGATTGATACCTTTAATAAACAATTATTTGAGCGGGATGGATGTAGATGCCGATACGCACTGCACAATACAGCAATACTTGAAATTCATTCAAAAACGGGCGTCGGGAGAAATCGTAACCACGGCCACCTGGATTAGAGACTTTGTTACTGCGCATGCGGACTACAAGTGAGTAACATAACCTGAAACAATGTCGCCAAATTGTTTTTTTTTACAAATTGTGTTTTGTAGGCATGATTCTGTGGTGTCAGATAGGGTAAATTATGACTTGTTAAAGACCATAGATGACATACAAAAAGGAAAAAGAACTTGTCCGGAGTTGATGGGCATAAATACGATGTCGAAAACAAAAGATCATATACCAACTGCTTTAAAAAACGATTGTTGACAAAACTTGTTACTTAATTGTAGATTTTTATTGAATAGCTTTTATTATTTTTATATATAAAATGCTGGTTTTAACACGTAATTTATAGAGTCTAACAGTATTTTGTTGAGTACTATTAGATATAGTAGAATTTTTTTAAAAGAAATTGTTGAAAGATTTGTTGAAATATATATTGATTATATATTTTCAGGGTAATTGGTAAGTTTTTTTAATTGTAAATTGTTTATATAAATACAAAAGTTTATCATTTTATTGTCTTTTATTTGCCATACGGGGCAGTCCAAAAATCTCGTGACGCTTCCAATGGTCAAATCAGGAAGTTAGGCAACCCACTGCACTAACGGCGGTCATTTTTATGTTGTTTACAATTCTTGCGATTTGGGTTTGTGCTGTTTATACAGATTAATAATCGTTTTAAACTTTGTGTTTTTTACTCAATTTAGGCCTTAAAGTGCCAAGGACAACCATTTTACTACTCTTTTGTAAAAAATTAACCTTTTTTATCTGGGCTGTCATCAAACTGTCAAATTTCAATTTTAAAGTTAATTTGTGGGTAATGGTAAATTAACATTAAAATTGACATAATTGAAAAAAATGGTTGTCCTTTGTATTTTTTTATTTATTTTTTCCAATAAAACAATATTACATTGTGTTGGAAAGTCAAAATCAAAGAAGCACAAGCTTGCATAAAACAAATACAATATATTAAAATACAAAAAGAAGAATAGTATTTAATAGTACCTACCTATATTTCTGTGCCCAAAAATAAATAGAGTGTAAATTTCCTCAAAAAAAAGTCCCCACTACCTTGTTAAGCCCTTTACCCAAAACCTAATGTTTATATTTGAAGAGCAAGCACATAATTTAAAAATTTAAAAGAAAAAATAAGTTGAAAGTGGAATAAATTTAAAAATCTTCAAAAGTATTTAAAAAATAAGACAAATAGCAAAGATATAGATAGATATAATAACAGGGTAGTAATTTTATCTTAAAAAAATATTATTTAATTTATTTTTTCATATATAGATAGATATAATTTTAGTTGGTATTTAAAAATTTAACATTTCCTAATTTTTTGAAATTAGTAAGTAACCTATTAAATATTGGTCAGGTGCATTTTTGCAAATCCTAGCCTAGTATTATGGGTATGATAATCGTTACCTATTTTTGCAAAAATTACTTTTATTATTAAAAATATTAAGGCAAATTTCAAAAATAAATACAGATGGCAAAGTAAGAATTTCATTCCATGTTTGAGGCTTACAAGTGACGGTAAGAAACAACGTTTAAATCGATTTTTTAATATGTACAATCAGCAAGAAACACAACATAAAAATGGCCGCCGTTATTCTGTGAAGTGGGTTGCCTAACTTGATTTTTAGTATGCCCGAAACTAGATAAAACAGACCTTGTTGTGTGAATTGTTATTCTACCTATGATAAAATGTCGAAAACTCAAAAATTATTAAACGCTTGGGGAAAAAAAGTACATAAAACACGGCGGAGCAAGCATGTTAACTGCATTGTTTTCAGGTAAGTAACCGTTATTTTTATAATAAAAATTTTACCTATACATAAATCATATTATTTGTTTTTATCTCAGGGATTGAAAATATGTAAAGTGCAATTAAATACATTTTGTGGCAAACATAATATATTTAATTTTGCTTCTTAATAGCATGTAAACAATAGAATATATCTGTATTAGTTGTGGTATTCCATCTGCCAGTTAAAAGGTTGTAAAAATATCCCTGTGTATTTTTTGTGTCGCAATTTACTGAAAAAAAAAAAAAAATTTAAATGGAGAGAATGGACAATATACAGGGCAATTGGAAAAGTAAGAAACATTAAAATCAGTATATACAAAATTACTTACAATTTTTCAACATATTACCCAAATCTGCAGGTGTGATAAGTTTCTCGATCTCGTGCGTTCCCTTGGGAATCAAACCGAGATTCTCGTACATAAAAATGGCGACGAAATTCGCCAACTTCGACTGACTGATCGTGGTCATGAAAATTGAACCGTTGGGCTTTAAACACTTCAAACAGGCATCTAAAAACTCCTCCTTCTTCGTGACGTGTTCTATGACCTCCGACGCCACGATGACGTCATACTGGCCCGCGTGACGTGAAGCGTGATCCTCGATTGTCGACGTGACGTATGCGATGTCAAGGCCCTCTTGATGTGCGTGCTCCTGCGCCAGCTTGATGAAATGCGCGTTTGCATCGAGCCCGGTTAACTTGATTTTGCGCGATAGTTTCGAGAGGGGCTCTGACAGGATTCCACCTAAACGAAAATAAAAGATTTTGGGAACTGTCTTGTTCAGCTAAATGAAATGACTACTTGTCTTCAACATTACTTACCCCCGCATCCCACATCGAGTACGTTGACTGTTTCAGTTTGACAGCTGTCATCTGCTGTCAAAATGCCGGCGTTTACCATGCCATCTTTGATGAAGGGCACTCGTACGGTGTTCATCTTGTGAAGTAGCCTCATGGGGCCAGTGATACTCCACCAGTCTTCTATGATCCCATTAAACAATACCAACTCATTTGGGTCAACCGTTGAAGAGAGTTTTCTAAAAAAAATGATTAAAAAAAAAGTGAAAATTTTTTAATCTATAGATATATCCAAGTACATACCTTGGTAAATTTTTTGCATGTTGGCTTAGAGACATTTTGTTTGGGAGTTCTTTACTAAAATTAGAAAAATACTCAATATTAAAAGTATAATTACGCCTTTATAGATTGAAAATTTATCAAAATTAAAACGTCAATAATTTATTTGATTAATATATTAATTATAAAATAATTACTTATTTACTGCGTAAGTAACATATTTTTAGCTTCTGGCAGGATATTTTTTTAAATCTAAATTACGTTCAAAATACATACTAATACAAATTATTCTACAGTGTGACCGGATTTGTCTTAAAGTATATTTCTTGATAAACTGTATTTTTTGAGCAAAAAAGCCATATTTTTACAAAATACAAGGCCTACCATGTCAGTTTTTAAGAGTAAATGAATTTTAAAATTTTTAAGAATTCATAATGGCGATTTTTTTAAACAAAATCTAAGCACGGCACTGGATTTACCCCCCTCAAAATGACCCTTTACTAAATTTTATTGAAAAATTTTAAGTTGAAAAATGCACAATAATAACTACAAAAATTTATTCTGTCAAGTTATCCATGAAAAAGCATTGAAATAAAATTAAACTGATAGTAACATGGTACTATGTTTTATTCATGGATAACTTGACAGAATAAATAATTTTTTGTAGTTATTATTGTGCATTTTTCTACTTAAAAATCCACATATATACAATTCAGACATGCATATGTGTCGCACATCTCAACAATATAAATAATAGGCTCGGACGGTGTAGAAAAGCAAATACAAATTGAAACAATTATCAATGTACAGCAACAAACAACAATGTGAAATATAAAGTATAATATAACTTAGGTCACAAACAACAATAATGCTAGTGGTAAATAATTATTTTAAAATATAAAAATAACAAGTGGTATAGTGGTAGACAAGAGTTAGGCAATAAAATTGGTGTACAGTCATAAATGATAAATAAAATCAGGTATGATAAAGTATTTGTGACCTTAGATTAAAATAATCAAATATGAAAAGACATACCTATTTAAATAAACTACACTTTCACAAAAACCGAATTTATATAAAATCAATTTATTATTGGTTAAATTCACTTCCTTACAAAATTAAAGAATTCAACTATTCCCTTCAAATAGCCAAACGCAACTGTCTCCAATCTACTTTCTTCTCTAGGATTTTAACACGCTAGCTAGAAGAGCTCTTCTTATGTTTATTTTTAAGACTAGGAACATGAACCAAAACTTGCTTATTTGGTCTTTCCCTCAAGTGTTCGTCCAGATGGGACGCATAAATGAAAATAGAATAATAAACAAAATAAAGACTGCATCGAATTCTAAAATAAAAACTTATATCCAACACCTAATACAATTTTAAAACAAATACTTAAAATTTATACTACTTTAGTGTGGTAGTCGTAAAAAAATTTGTTTTTTAATTATCAATAACAAATAATGCTACAAAACAAACAAAAAATTAAAAATTCTCACCTTTTAAATAAGTTTACAAACCTAATTCGGATACTAAACGTTATTACCAGTGCATTTGTCATTTATACAAAAATTTAAAATTGCAATATTTATATAAAATAAAACATATAAGATAAGGCTGAAGGACTTCAGTCGATGCCCTTTTATTTACTGTTATTTTTTACCAATAATCATTATTTATTTTCATATTTTTAATTTACAGTAACTATTATTAATTAATTACAATTGTATTCTCATTAAGTAGATTAATTTACTTTATAGAGTATTTGGTATTTTTTAATTTTAAATTGTTTATATATGGGGCAAAATATCCCAACTATATACCACCGAAAAAATGTTCACTTTCCCAATCTTTAAATTTTACTAAATTATAATCTGTAATTATAGTACTGTACTGTACAGTACTATAATTACAGATTATAATTTAGTAAAATTTAAAGATTGGGAAAGTGAACGTTATATAACGTACTATATAGTACTAATACTTCATTACCTCTAATTTTCAAATTACAGGGATGGAAAGTTTACAGTTTTCCTTTGACGAATTTAAAAAATATATTTTTTTTAATACCGGGTATTCCGATTGCTCTAATATTTTATTTGTTTTATATGTATATACATTTTTATCCAACCATATAAATATATTTTGAAGTTCCAGTACCTGTTTATAGGTAGGTTTACTTAAATCATATAATTTGTTTTTATCTCAATGATTGAAAATGTGCGGGTATAGTGAAATTAAAAACATTTTGTATGGCAAACATAATATATTTAATTTTAATTTTTAATAGCATGTAAACAATAGAAGATATCTGTATTAGTCATGGTATTCCATCTGCGAGTAAGAAGGTTGTAATAAAATCCCTGTGTATTTTTTGTTTCACAATTAACTAAAAAAAAATAATATATAAATGTTATGTACTTAATTAAACAAAAAACGCAAAGTAAGAACTTTAAAAGTATGTACAGGGTGCTATGTAATTAATGTTATATATTAAAATACTGAATACCTTTTGACATAAGGAATAAAGGAAAAATATAAATAAAAAAACATTTTTCCAAAGATAAATAAAAAATATGCATTAGAAGTTTTTTATATTTTTTGTGATACGCCACTGGTTACACACTTGTTTATCTCTGCACACCTGTGTTTTGTGAGTACATAGATACCAACCAACAAAGTAGCTATGCGTTGCCAGATGTAAAAAATTGTTACTAAAAATTTTTCTTGCAAAAAATAAATAAAAACTCAATAAATACAAAAGTTTTATGCCCTTAAAGCTCTAATACCCTTCTGTATTTATTTACTGATCCAGCTATTAGCTTAAGCAATGATTAGAAAATTTAGTACCTTTGAAATTTGAAATCCATAACCACAAAATTAATTTTTTCATCAGTTTTTTTCTGTTTACTCAGATGAAATTGGGACCAGTTCACAGGTTAAACTTTAAACATTTAATTTGTGTAAATAAATCCAAAAGCACTTCCCTTAGTTAAGATATTTACAATTTGAAAACATAACCTAAAATTTAAAAGAAATGCACTAGATTCTGTCATAAAAGTTGGCAGATTTTGTTTGAATTTACCTTCAGTACAAAAATGAAATAACCAATAATTAATAAAAATTCCAAATTGACAATTTGCATTGTTAATTTTGTCATTTTTGTAATTAAGCTAAATTTAAACAATGTTTGTCAACTTTTTTGAGAGATTTTGGAAACACTGTTACCAACCATAACATAATAAATCCACCAGATTAACCTAAAGTTCCTAGTCGATCAGTGGCGTACTTTTTGGTAGGATAAAGGTTATTATAAATTATTTTTAGACTTTGGAATTTAGAAAAAAAAAGTTTCAGGTGCTTCTTTATGGACCATAAGGAACAACCCATTTTAATATATAACATTAATTACATAACACCCTGTATACCTTAACAAAACACAATATTACTTACAATTTTTCAACATATTACCCAAATCTGCAGGTGTGATGAGTTTCTCGATCTGATGCGTTCCCTTGGGAATCAAACCAAGATTCTCGTACATAAAAATGGCGACGAAATTCGCCAACTTCGACTGACTGATCGTGGTCACAAAAATCGAACCGTTCGGCTTTAAACACTTCAAACAGGCAGCCAAAAACTCATCTTTACTCGGAACGTGCTCTATGACCTCCGACGCCACGATGACGTCATACTCGCCTGCGTGACGTGACGCGTAATCCTCGATCGTCGACGTGACGTATGCGATGTCGAGGCCTTGTTGATTTGCGTGCTCCTGCGCCACCTCGATTAAATTTGCTTTATAATCGAGCCCGGTTAACTTGATTTTGCACGATAGTTTCGAGAGAGGCTCTGACAGGATGCCACCTAAACAAAAATAAAAGATTTTGGAGAAATGTCTTGTTAAGCTAAATCGGAATTTCAATTGAGTTTACCGTTTTCGAGATATTTACAAAAAAAAATCTCCTAATTACGTCACTTTCTATGGTTGCCAGTGTGTTTAGTTTAAGATTCTTACGATAGATGGCGCCACGTTATAATATTTTAGTTTTAAAACCACTTGATCTATAATTTTAGTTGAGAAAAAGAAGAATTGATTTTTTTACGTTTCTTTTTTTTGGGTTATGTTTTTTTAAATTTAGATTATTGAAAATCAATGTTATTGTTATGTTATTTGTAATTGATATTAGATAAGTGATTTATTAATAACGGACTCCAAAGCGGAGGAATCTTGTGGAATGGTTGGTTACATTGAACATTGGAGCTTTTAAACAAATAAAGTAAGTATCTATAATTATAATCATATTTTGTCGTAAATGCATTTCATTAGTATAATGCCTAGTTCTTTATATTCTTTTAGATATATCTTGGACTCTAAAATATCAAACAGTAATATGATACCTCGTAATAAGGAAGATAGGTACTTAATGAATTTGGTGACCATCTTTCACTTAACTGACAGTGACAGTATTTGTACATAACCTCTTTGGGTATTTTCTGACATAACCGAATGAAATCATTAACAAGACAACTTGACAACAGGGTAATTTTTAACCAATAGAAATCTTAGAATGTTGGTCACATGGCGAGGTTTGTGACGTCATAAAAATTTATATTTTTTGTAAATATCTCGAAAACGGTAAACTCAATTGAAATTCTGATTTCACAGAAATGTTAATATTACAAAACGCCTTGAATAAAACCATAAAAAGTATAGGTCAGAAAAAATTTAACTACCCCATTGTCTACAACCGTACTTACCCCCGCATCCCACATCTAGTACGTTGACTATTTCAGTTTGACAGCTGTCATCTGCTGTCAAAATGCCGGCGTTTACCATGCCATCTTTGACGAAGGGCACTCGTACGGTGTTCATCTTGTGAAGTAGCCCTATGGGGCCACTGGTATTCCACCAGTCTATTACCAATTGGTTTGCCCCCTTTGGTAGTTGATTTAGAGACATATTGTTTGAAAGTTCTTCACTGAGATTAGAACAAAACTAAATATTAAAGTTATAATTACGCCTTTATACCTGTTAGGTGCCCTCTGGACAATACAGGTACCCTTTTTTAGTGTTTATTAGTGTTATCAGTGATATTAGATATTATAATATAGGTATTGTATTTAATGTTTTCTTTGTATTTTAATTACTTTGTTTATTTGATATTATAATGTTATTATTTACAGATTTACAGATGCCAAATGTCTGGATTATTAGTAATCCCAGTTTTGTTATAGCTTATAAATAGGAGTGGACTTGATTTTAATAAACAATTCAATTTAACAATTATATTTAAACAATTAAACTATTAACTATTTAATATATTGATATAATTCAACATAGTGTTTTAATACTCAAGTTAGTAGTTGAGATTAAGAAGTTAAACTTTAACCCTTGTTATATTTTGTGATCAATAAGGTTTGCCCAGTAAGGGGACATCCATTAATTACGTGAGATTCTAGCCAGTTTCATTGCGGACAACATAATAAACCCAAAAAAAATGTTTTTTTGAGAAATTTGAATTATAATACTTCTATTCTTTGAACCCAAAAGTTGACGTGAGATTTTAAATGACCCCTCCTCCCTTAACATGAGATTTAGTGAAATTTTGCTAGACCCCTCCCCCCTATTTTTATCTCACATAATTAATGGATGTCCCCTAAACAACAACTTTTTTAATAGTAAGGTTATGTCACATTGTTACAAAAGACAACAAAGCAATAATTTAAGACATTTTCATTTGAATGAACCGCGCTTTAAGCTAGTTCTTCCAGTAGCCACTAGAGTCGCCACCTTAACTATGTTCCCCACTTCTAAAAAGCAATCGGGTACTCTTTTGTGTTTGTGTCTCTATTATCTCTATTATCACAAATACATAAATAAAATAGCGATAGATAAATATACATTGTGTCAACAGAATCTCGTAAACAAATCATAAGAGGACGATACTTTAGAAAAGTATAGAAGAAATCTACGTTATTTAATTTGGTCAGGAGATGCAACCACCTTAGTTAGAAAAAAGAAATTTTAGCTTACCTACAGGTTATACAACACTAAAACTCGAACGACTCGTTTCTACCTGTTGAATCTCTTCTGAGACTCAGTTACCTACTTTACTTTATCTAATCTATGGAGTTACTGCAGTAACTAAGTAGCATAGATTATAAAAAAACTACCACTACTACTCTAATCCTGAGATAAAGAAGGTTCTAATGATTAGAATCTAATCCATGGTACATGGTCATAGAAATAATACATATACATAATATATTATAATAATAAATAATATGGTATTATTTCTAGTCTTACAACTATAGTTGCATTGATTTACTTCACTCTACGATAATCACAGATTATAAAGACGATAATTGTCTTAGAATAGAAAACCCTGAAGAGGTAGAAAGCGAACTCTGGTGGAAGCGCATAAAACCATAGATAGGCAACCAACCAACCAATCCTAGAACTTTGATTCCTATTGGCTGGACCATTAACCCGCGATATTTAAATGTTTGTAAACTGAATTTGATATTAAAAAAAATCAATTAATTATTATTATTATTATTGAACTAATAATACCTAAACTATAAGATTTTGTGTTAAAAATATCTTCTCTGTGGCACTAGGTTTAAACTTAACCATTAACCCGCGATATTTAAATGTTTGTAAACTGCATTTGATATTAAAAAAAATCAATTAATTATTATTATTATTGAACTAATAATACCTAATCTATAAGATTTTGTGTTAAAAATATCTTCTCTGTGGCACTAGGTTTAAAAATGTTTTGCGGTCAAAAATACATAAAATACCAATATTTTTTTTTTAATTTGTCAAAGGTTTTTTAAATTTTTTTGTTGTAGGTTAGGTACCACGTGAATATCAATAATAATTTTTATACATTATATATTTTCAGGGTAGGTAGGTACCTACTTGGTAAGTTTTTCTAATTGTAAATTAAATAAATATAAAAGTTAATAGGTACTTTATAGTCTTTTATTTACTCTAACAAACAACCATTGTAGGTATAAATTTATAAAAATATAATAACAAATTAAATTAAAGCCACTCTATCACAAAGAATATTGGGATTTCTATGTTCACAAACTGGACATTCATACTTTGAATCTGCAATTTGATTTCCCTAAAACAAATAATCATTAAAATTTTTATGAAAGTGATAAACCAATCACAGCACAGCATTCTCCACAGCACACTGGATTCAGAGAGATAATGCACTGTGATTGGTTAATCACTTCCAATAGAAAATCGCAAATTCGCCGTAAAAAAAATATGTTTACAAACCTTTAAGCATACATAACAGAAAATATGTGCGCAACCCATATGATGAGGTATAGTTGGATTCTCACCACAAAAAGCACATTTGGAATGCATAGTTATCGTCCTACAAGACATTGTAGTATAAACCGGCTTCTGTCGGAAAGGATTATTATTCCTTATTGTCCTTGTAACCTTGTGATAATTAATTAAAGGCAAAACATGCACAATTATTTCCTTAAAAACAACTTTTAAAAATCACTCTTTTAAATAATTAGAATGTATTACAATAAAACCATTCCAAAGCAGCTCCCTAGCCAAATATTTTGAATCAAATTGTCTCTGAGTGTTTTCATTGGAGTAAACTTGATTTAAACCCAAAAATCTCTCAATTAACAAAGGTTTTTGGCCATTCTTTAAAAACACAGACAAATTAATAAAATCCATTATCTTTAAAATCGTATATATACGCGATATGTGATTATTAATCTCGTGTGAAGGCCTCCATATCTCGAATTTATCCTTTACATACCCCATGACGCAACCGAATACATAAAGATATCTTTTAAATGTAGAAATTTCATCGTACTTAATGGACAACAATTGTTGCCCAAAAGTGCTGCCATATTTAACTATGGAGTAATTTAAGACAGCCAAACGAAGTAATAACTTAATTTCTTCATCGTACGGGGCTGTTAATCCAGGCTAAAACAACAATATTTCATATTTTATAAAATTTATTAAAACTACCTACAGGAAAGTTTTTGGTGGCTTCCTGGATTAATTGAATGAATAATTTGTTAATTTCATTGTCTAAATATATTCCATTTATCTGTGTTACGCGTAAAAGACTGTATTTGGACATTTTATAGTAAACATAACCTGCATTGTATTTACAATGATGCCAAGGGTACATTAGGGTTGCCAACTGTCCAGAATTTGGGTGGACGTCCACCTTTTCGGCTCATTTGTCCAGCGTCCAGTCAATATCTTTGGCTGGACGTAAAATGTTCATAATTTTCACGTTGGCACATTTTTCAATTTTTTCGAAGGATTTTTTCCACAATCCGACAACGTTGTACCAGCCATGCCTCGTGCCGCCAGAATTTAAATATTCGTGCCTGCCTCGTGCGCGCTCGACTTTTTTCGTAGGCGTTGCGTGAAAGGCTGAAACCATGCTTCTTTTCTTTCTCACTCACACTCCTTTCTTACACATAAGGCAGGAGCGAGAAAGACAGCACTTATCGAGAATAATCCAGTCCTGTCTTATAAGTAACTTACGACTGTTGTCATAAGATAATTATCGATTTGTTTAATTAATCGTTTGATTGTGACAATTAACGTGCGGAATACTGCGGAACTGCTGCTGCTGACCTATTTAGTTTTCTTAAAAGGTAAGACTATTTTTTGTATAACGTTTTATATTGTTTGATATAATTTTAGAATAAAATAGGACAGTACCTACTTAGTCACTATGTCATTCTCGTCATCCTTGTCTCGTCATCCTTGTCAAATCCAGAAACAAAAAAAATTAGGCGTCTGTGCAAGTATAGAAAAGAATGGGAAGCAGAATTTCCATGGGTAACAGAAGACGGCAGTTCTTCCACTGGTTTATCGAGAGGATTTTGCAAAATTTGTAAAAAAACATTTCAAGTGGGTTTCCGGTGGCAAAGGCGATTTAAAAAAACACCAAATGGGGAACGAACATAAAAAAAATAGTTATGTGTTTTACCAAGTTAAAAAAATTTCAAATAAAATATGTCCATAATTTTGTACCGGTGTCCAGAATTTTTAATCACCTTGCCCAGAAAATCCCAAAATAAAAGTTGGCAACCCTAGGGTACATATGTCAAAAAAAACATATTTAAAAACATATTTTAAAGTGTTTGTTAATTAAAATGACTTTAAACATACAATAGAATAATATTTAACATGAATAATTAACAATTTTAACTTAAATTTGCGTAATTTAATATTTCTCAGTTGCTGTCAAAATCACTCTGGCAACAGTGTAAGAATAATTTGACAGTTCTTCCATTTTTGTTGTGATTTCTGTTACCTTTTAAACAATCTTTTCTAGAAAAGTGCTTTAAATTACAATGACTACGAAAACGAATTCCATTGACGCTAGGCAAGAACTTGCTGAATTGGTTAAAAGAAAATCAGAAATTGGGGTAATAAATTTAATGAAAAAAATATCATTGTTTTTATAAATAACTTTTAGGAGACCTTAGCAAGTTTAGAAAGGCAAATATATGCTTTTGAAGGTTCTTATTTGGAAGATACTCAATTGTATGGTAACATAATAAGAGGTTGGGATAGATATTTATCGAGTAATAAAACGACAAACTCAAAAAATGATAAGCGGAACAGAAAGTTTAAAGAAGCTGAAAGGCTCTTTTCCAAGTCATCTATTACATCTATGGCAGTAAGTGTTTGTTATTTAATTTAGAAAATATTAATGGTGTTATGACAACAATGTTTGATGTTTTATTTTTTATTTTAGGCTGTTAGTGGAATAGTAGATACAAATCAGGAAAAAAGTAAGAACAATTATGAAGTAGACAACAATATTTATTCGAGTTAATTTTTTTGTTTTATTTTTATTATAATTTGTATTTTTGTACCCCAAAAACCTTATTTATTATAGAATTTAATTTATTTATCTTATTTTTATTTATTTATGTTTTTAAGTAGGTAGTTGTTGGGAAACAAAAACTTGTAACCATCAGGAAAAATATGGTTTTTTTTTGTAGAAAGCTTTGTTTCAAACGCAATTTTTCTCTCAAACTAAACTGTGACTTATTTTTATAGTAGATAGAAATAGTGATACAGAGTCACAAACAAATGAAGACTCAAGTGATACAAACATAACTCCTACGATAGTGCAAAACGAAAATGGCGTCAAAACGGCGGGAAAACATTCGACAAACGCAAATGGTACGCAGAATGGCATCGATCATTCAAGCCCTTCGAGGGAAGTTTCAAACAAAAAGCCTTTCGCTTCAAGTGCCAAAAAAAATAACAATAAGAAAGCTAAACATAGATAAATAGGGTTTTGGGTTTATTACGTATAAGTTTGATGAGATTTAAGTGTCTTCTTGGTGTAAGATAAGAAAATAAATTATTTATAGATCCATAATTTTTTTTTTATTGGTGTCCCGTGCCGTTTAAAACAAATATTTGCTCCACTGTGCGTCGGTATGGTATACAAATTACAATGTTGCCAATTTTCACATAAATATCCGATTTGCGGATAATTTCGCGAGTTGCGGATATTTCTCTGATCCTTGATGAGGCGGAAAATTTCGGACAGCAATACAATATCAAAAAATTAGTGAAATTTAAATCATCCACAACGTAAAATTTATGGTAAAGCGATACTTCATAATCATTATTTGCCCCGGCACCTTTAATATTTGACATTGGCAACACTGTAGAATCTACAGTGTATATAACGATCGGGGAAGAAGAAGACTAACCAATTTGCGCGCCAACGTCTAGTCAGTGTTCTGTGTAGTCGGCCGGCACGTGGTTCATTTATTTTAGCATCTTTTTAGTTTAACAATCAACAAACACATTCAAAATGACTAAACCACCATACAAAGTCGGTAAGTATCAATCAAAATAACAATCAACTCGTGTTAAGTTTGCGTTTTGTTTTTTAAGCCGATTTGAAGCTGGCTGATTGGGGCAGAAAGGAAATCGAGCTGGCCGAGAACGAGATGCCCGGTTTGATGTCCCTTAGGAAAAAATACCCCAACAAACCCTTAAAAGGTGCTAAAGTTGCTGGGTGCTTGCACATGACCATTCAAACGGCTGTTTTGATTGAAACCCTTATTGAATTGGGAGCTGAGGTAAGTTTGCTTTGTTTAAACAAATATTTCGTCATTATATGACGGTAATATTACTCAAGAGATTTAGATTCTTAGTTGCATAATATGTATTTTGCTAAATTTGTTGTATCATGGAAAGGTTATCACATAATTTAATGACATGGTGAAATTATTGTTATTTTTTATACCTATTTATAGATATTTTTGTACATCACATTTACTTAAATAAACATGTATTCCTAAAGGAAACAAACGAATTATTATAATAATAAGGAAGAAATTTACATTTCAATAAATAAATCTATTTTTATGTATGTACATATGTAACATAACTTATGTTTTAAAATAGTTTTCAATAGAAAAAAGCCAAGGCAATTTTATAGAAAATGTAAAAAAAATATATTTTTTATTGAAATTTTATAAACTAAATTTATAAAAAAATAACACCATTTTTTGTACACCCTGTATACTAGATTTATTTTTTTATTGTCAAAAACTAGAAAAATGTTTTTTTGCAAAATAATTTACTAAATTTCATACAAAATTATTTTCTTAAAATTACTTTTTATAAAATATTCAAGGACTAGATAACTTTTTTGTAATTTTTCTAATCTGGTTGCAAAAAAATAAATGCAATGAATTTTATAGTAAAAATTAAATAAAACGTATTTTAATTAACAAATTAAATTGTTAATTTGTTGTTATAATGGCAGAATTAAGGTTTAAAACTGTCATATTTTTGTTTTCTTAAGTTGGCAGCATGAAATATGAAATAATTTAAAATAGTGCTAAAAAATTGTTTTTTTGAGATTTCCATAAAAATTACTGTAATTAATTTTTAAGCCATCAACATGATTTTATTTTATCGCTAAAATTTTTGAAAGAATCTACGGAAAATAACACTTGTATAGAATTTGATATTGACAACTTGAAAATTAATTATTTGTTTTATTTTTTATATAAATCTGATGATTGAGCTCGTAGGATACAAAATAAAAAAACGTAACTTTAAAAATTATTTTCATGGAATCTGTGCCGTAAAAAAATTTGAAATTATTTGTGGATGCCTCTGATGCCTCACAAAGAGTACCTTAATACCTTAATACATATTGAATTAAAATGTAAATATTTAAAAAAAAAATCAATTCCAAAGACAAAAAAATGGAAAAAATTAGTTTCCCCCAATTTTCCCGTTTTTTTTTTGACAATTGAGGAGTGATTTTTTAAAAGGTCGTATTTCCATTTGCAACAATTTTTCAAAAAAATGACTATAACCTGAATAGGTTATAACTTATAGGGCAATATAGATTATTTAAAAAAAAATTCTGCTGAATATTTAATAATACTTCAGACCTGCTGTCATATTTCGCCGTTAATATATGCCTTTTAACCATACCTTTGGGATTTTGTCAAAAAATTACATTCAAGCTAAAATGGAAATAAGGCCTTTTGAAAAATCACTCCTCAATTAAGAACCCTAGTCAAGGCCTATATAAGAATATCACAAACAAATTTTAAAATCTCAAAACCACATTTAAGAATGTTAATAAAAAAGTAGATTTTGCAAACACCCTGTACTAAAGTTTATACTTTATTGATGTTTTAACAGAAATTAGAAAAAAAAATTGGTTCAAATATTTTAATACACAAAATTATCGGTTTAAATTTGAGTCATTTAAATGTCGATGTTTTTTTTAATACATACATTCTCACATTAAATTTAAATGTAAGTTGTAAATTTTAAATTGGTAATTTTTGGATTAAAAATTTATCGACTATCATTTAAATGACTACAAATTTAAACCAAACTTTTTATTATTAAAACTAACGTTTAAATGTAATATGAGAATTTTTTTATTAAAAATTTGTTTCATTTAAATAAATCTTTACAAATTTAAACTAATAATTTTGTAGAATAAAACAATTTTTAAAAAATTTTTTGATTATCAATTTTTAAACTATTTTGGTAGAAAAAGTTTTATATAGGTTTTTATTTTAAATATCTCAACAAAAAATTTAACTTTACTAATTTAATTTGCAAAAATTGTTTTGAAATAATATTGTTTAATACAGAGGTGAATTGTTGGTAAATTTGTCTTTTAATTAGAGATGTAAAAAAACGGTTTTTTTCAAATGTGAAAAAAAACGGTTTTTTTTGTTTTTTTTTTCAAAATATTGCTTTCTTTTTTGGTCCATGGAATGTTCTGACTTAACAACCAATGAATAAATGTTCTACAAGAATTTGCTATTGTTTTTTGAAAAAAAAATCCATACTCTACATAAATTTGAAAAATCATGAAAAAAGTGCTTTTGGTAACTTTTTGAAAAATCAAGCGCTGAATCAAAAATATTATAGGTAGTTACTTTTTTTAGGACCAAATCAAAACAAGCGCGGCCGTTACTGGTCAAATCGATGGTTGTGGCGCGTGCATAGCGCGAGACTGTATTTACATTTAATAATTGTCATTTAGTGGCTAATTTTAGTCCATGAAAACATAAAAAATTCTGAATCTTGAAAAAAAACAATGAAAAAAAACAAAAAAAACGGACCGTTTTTTTTCAAGTCGCATCTCTACTTTTAATACATGATAGTTAAAAATATTTTAAATTTATAAACCCAAAATGTTTAGTTGGGAAAGTTTTAAATTGAAAATTTATTTAATAAATGCTAAAACAAACTTTCAAGGTCCAATGGTCCAGCTGCAACATCTTCAGCACCCAAGACCACGCCGCCGCGGCGCTAGCCAAGATCGGCATCCCGATCTACGCGTGGAAAGGGGAAACCGACGAGGAGTACATGTGGTGCATAGAGCAGACGCTAGTTTTTCCAGACGGCAAACCCTTCAACATGATCCTAGACGACGGTGGCGACCTCACCTCGCTGGTGCACACCAAATACCCCCAGTACCTGAAGGAGTGCAGGGGAGTGAGCGAAGAGACCACCACGGGGGTGCACAACTTGTACAAGATGGTCAAGAAGGGGGAGCTCAAGATTCCCGCCATCAACGTCAACGATTCCGTTACCAAGGTAAGTTTCAAGATTTTTTTATCTAAGAAGGTTTCTTCCATTGGAGAATTACAAAAACTCACTGTAGAATATTTAAAGCCTATTCAAGAATGTTGATTTTATAGGTTGGCTATACTTTAAATCATAGAAAAAGTATATAAGAAGGGAGACCTCAGCGTTAGGCAAAGGAAACACAACTGACATTTGGCCCTGTAAGCAGATCCGGACTAAAGCATTTTTAAAAAATAATATTTTGGAGTGACATTCACAATATCGAAATTTGTTATATCGAATTCAAAATATCGAACACTTTTTATCGAAAATCAAAATGTCGAAATGAATATATCGAAATTTTATTTAATCGAATTTTCAATTTATCAAAAATAAAATCTCGACCGCTGTCATACAGGTTATGACGAATAGCTGTCATCTTGGTTATGCAGGTACACTGCATTGTGCCATACCAAACCAACCCAAACTTAACAACCCAACCCAACCGACCCCGCCCCATTGGGCCCCTCCCGCCTCATTGAGCAATAGAGGTATAATATATCTAAGGGCAGGCTGGATTGTGACAATGGGGCGGGGTCGGTTGGGTTGGGTTGATAAGTTTGGATTAGTTTGGTATGGCACAATGCAGTGTACCTGCATAACCAAAATGACAGCTATTCGTCATAACCTTGAGGAATACTTTGCTATAGCCTCTAGTTGAAAATGAGGTTAAATATGCGACGGTTGAGCACACACATTTCTACGTCCGTCCGACGGTCGGGGAGACACTAACTTTAATTATTCGACATTTTCAAATCGACATTTTAATTTTCGATATTATCATTTTCGACATTTTGAATTTTCGATATTTTGATTTTCGATAAAAAGTGTTCGATATTTTGAATTCGATATAATGAATTTCGATATTGTAAACGTCACCCAATATTTTGCATATTGGTTATAATTTTTTTATGATTTTTCTATTACTTACGAGACTTTTCTGGCAATAAATTTTGTTTAACACCAAAGAAAATCCTTTTTTTCTTCTTTAACATTAACAGCCGCTTATTGTAAATAAGTAAAATAAGGACGGCATGGCGAATCGATTTTGACATTAACTGTCAAACCAATGACTGTGATACCAACTACCTATCTAAAATAAAATTCGACCAAATTAAATATAAGGTATAAAATTATTTTTTTTATAGAATTTTTGCAAAATAGATAAAATAGCATAAAGAACTCATATCATAAGACCTTTTACAACCATCCTCCTTCGTCGCTCGTTTTATAAATTGTCCGCGTGCAACAAAATGACGTCTTATGACATTAGTTCTATAATATACTATTATCTATGAAGAATACAAAGAAGAATTTAAAGCCAATTTGTTAAAAATTTGAGATCTGTCAACTGTCAACGGATTTAACCTCATTTTTTTTCAATTTATATTAAATATAATTTATAACTTCAGCCCGTGACTAAAACGCTATAAAGTCCTAAATTTTAAACAATAAAAAACGTAATTTTTTTGAACTTTCTTTATTATCTAGAACCTACTAGAAATTTAATTATTTCATGGTCACTTTAAAAATTCCTAAACTTGTTTAAAAATATCCCTAGAATTTCTTAGTTTTAAAAATAATTATACAAAAGAGGATAAATAACAATGTTTTTATTTAAATTACTAAACTAATGAAACAAACAGAACATATTTTGCATAAATTACATAAATATGTAATAAAGTAAATAAAGATAAAAACAACGTAAATCAAACAAAATCTTAAAATGTTTTAAAAATTCCAGTCGTTAATAATCGCTAGAACTAGGACATTGTTTATTATTATTCATTATTATTCAACATTTAAAGAAAATGGTAAAGTAAAATTAAAACTGGAGTACCAATTTTAAATATTAAAAATACCAAAGTAAATTGATAGCATTCTATGGAGGCTGTTTAAATGGAGATACCACCCTAATTGTTTGACCTACATTTTTTTTTAAATTATCAGTTTTGCAATTTAAAAATCTATAATAAGATTAAGAAAAAAATGTATCTCAGTATACCATTACAAATATCATAAGTTTACACAAAACAATCAAACCGTCGCCCAAAAACAAAAAACTGGGAAAAAACCTGGAATAACTGACACCATTGAATTCACTGGGCCAACTAATATGGGATGGGGCTCATATGTATATAGTAACTTTTGTATTAAATTAAAAAATATTTTTTTTTTAAATCAAATGTAATAAAATAACAAAATTAATTTGTCATTTAATAAGTTTGTACCTATCACTATTTATATTAAATTATAAAAATAATATATATTTATGCATTACGTATAAAAGCAACTCACCTTTCCCCTTTCCTCGCAATGTACTGCTGTTAAATCATATTTTAGAATTTAATTGATGACATTAAGTCTAAAAGTAAAAATTTTGACAAATTATTTAATAAAATCAGTTTTATAGTGCTTTTTTGTGAGAATATTTCAATAATTTTATAAATTGAGGCGTGTAGTACCAAAAGGGGTGTATGCCATTTTTTGTTAAGATTTTTCGTTATAAAACATAGTAAGTAATAGGGTGTGCCAAAAAAACTCGATATTTTTTTTTCTTGCTCTCCACCCAAAATATCGTAGAATATGTCCGAACAAATATCCTGTTAAAAGCGGAGCTCATAATTTCAATTTTAAAAGGTCCTTCATCGAATCTGAAGTTTTGCCGCTTAAATAACACAGAAAACTGACTTTTTACCTTATTTATTCTTGCAACCTAGGAAGAATTTTTTTTTCATAAAATGACTAATTCTTACAAAACATTAAATTTGGACGAAAAAATCTTATCAAGCCGAATTTCTATTTTCATTATTTGATTTTTTACAAGCTTTAAATTTTACGTTTTTTGCCTTTTTCAGCTAAACTATTGAAGTTAGATGAAAAAGTCAAATGGCAATTTTTTAGCTTGTCTAATGTCTAATGGACCTTCGGTCATCTATGAATGGACCACAAAAAAGTTTTAGGCGAATTTTTTGTATCGTCAATATTCTAAAAGTTACAGGCGTATAAAGTCATCATTTTTGTATTATTAATAGGATTTTTTTTTAAGAATTAGTCATTTTATGAAAAAAAATTCTTCCTAGGTTGCAAGAATAAATAAGGTAAAAAAGTCAGTTTTCTGTGTTATTTAAGCGGCAAAATTCAGATTCGATGAAGGATCTCTTAAAATTGAAATTATGAGCTCCGCTTTTAACAGAATATTTGTTCAGACATATTCTACGATATTTTGGGTGGAGAGCAAGAAAAAAAAATATCGAGTTTTTTTGGCACACCCTAGAATGTACAGGGTGATCCCCTATAATGTCGCCCCCCTTTAACTTTTTTATTTTAAGTGTCCCAAAAAATTTAAAAGTGTGGTTATGTAGGAACTAAAAAATACTTTTTTTCTACGTTTAAAGAAAATTGGAAAATTGATCAGTATACAGGGAAAAACAAAAAGTTTATTTTTTTTTCAATGGATCACCCTATATATGAATTTATTTTTCGATTCCTTGTAAAATTCTGAGCATAATTCATATATCATACCATATACCTAAATTCAACCGTTTCTGAAATATTTAAATTATTTTTAAGATAATAAGTTGAAATAGTTTGTCTGAGTAGGCCATTTTTACTTATTTAACAAGACATATTGACATAATATCAATACAATAATTGATTTTCAATAAAAATTTTGGTATACTGATGCTTCTTGATTTCTAACAGTTTAAAAAACCATTTAATGATAACATTTCGAATGCGAATATTTCAAAAACAGTTGAATTTAGGATATGGTTTGTTATATGAATTATGCTCAGAATTTTACAAGGAATCGAAAAATAAATACATATATAAGGTGATCCATTGAAAAAAAATAAACTTTTTGTTTTTCCCTGTATATTGATCAATTTTCCAATTTTCTTTAAACGTAGAAAAAAAGTATTTTTTAGTTCCTACATAACCACACTTTTAAATTTTTTGGGATACTTAAAAAGTTAACGGGGGGCAACATTATAGGGGATCACCCTGTACCCTTACTATGTTTCTAACAAAAAATGGCACATACCCCCTTTGGTACTTCCACGCCTCAATTATGATACTCATATTTTGTAAAACCGATTCAATTTAATTTTTATGACATTTTGACATATTTCTTTCAGAGCAAATTCGACAACCTCTACGGCTGCAGGGAGTCGCTCATAGACGGCATCAAGCGCGCCACCGGCGTCATGTTGGCCGGTAAGGTGTGCGTCGTGGCCGGCTACGGCGACGTAGGCAAGGGCTGCGCGCAGTCGCTGCGCGCGTTCGGCGGCCGCGTCCTGATCACGGAAATCGACCCCATCAACGCCCTGCAGGCGGCCATGGAGGGCTACGAGGTAGGGATGTTAATATCAATAAAAAAATGTATCGATACTTATCGATAATTTTTAAATAATTATCGATAAGTATCATTAACTTCCCCCACCACAAAATATTTTATGTGATTTTAAGAAATATTTTTAATAATCAAAAATTGTTCTTAAAATCAAATAAGTAATTATTATAATTTTAAACAAATATTAAAAATAAATTTTGGCGTAATTTTTAAACCACTTCATTAAATAAATGAAAATGAATTTAAGTACGTTGACGAGTTTTCACTAGATATAGGGACCCTAGGATACTCCATAAACAAGATACCACTAGATTTATAAAGTCTAATGTTTCGCTTAGTTGATTTGGTTCATAAGGTCCAAAATCGCGGTTTGTTTACAGACAGCGGGTTTAAAATCCCGTGGATGTTGAAGAATGTTTTTGCAACCAGTTATACGTCTAGTCATTTCTTGTATATGGGATATTCTTACTCTTTTTTAACTATAGTATAGACTATAGGTAGGAACGTACCAACAAAATAAGCGGAAAAATCCAATAACAAAAGTAAATTCGGAAAATACAAAAATATATACAGGGTGTTATGTAATTAATGTTATATATTAAAATGGGTTGTTCCTTAGGGTCCATAAAGAAGCACCTGAAACTTTTTTTTCTAAATTCCAAAGTCTAAAAATAATTTATAATAACCTTTATCCTACCAAAAAGTACTCCACTGATCGACTAGGAACTTTAGGTTAATCTGGTGGATTTATTATGTTATGGTTGGTAACAACAGTTTTTCCAAAATCTCTCAAAAAAGTTGACAAACATTGTTTAAATTTAGCTTAATTACAAAAATGACAAAATTAACAATGCAAATTGTCAATTTGGCGTTTTTATTAATTGTTGGTTATTTCATTTTTGTACTGAAGGTAAATTCAAACAAAATCTGACAACTTTTATGACAGAATCTAGTGCATTTCTTTTAAATTTTAGGTTATGTTTTCAAATTGTAAATATCTTAACTAAGGGAAGTGCTTTTGGATTTATTTACACAAATTAAATGTTTAAAGTTTAACCTGTGAACTGGTCCCAATTTCATCTAGTAAACAGAGAAAAAACTGATGAAAAAATTAATTTTGTGGTTATGGATTTCAAATTTCAAAGGTACTAAATTTTCTAATCATTGCTTAAGCTAATAGCTGGATCAGTAAATAAATACAGAAGGGTATTAGAGCTTTAAGGGATAAAACTTTTGTATTTATTGAGTTTTTATTTATTTTTTGCAAGAAAAATTTTTAGTAACAATTTTTTACATCTGGCAACGCATAGCTACTTTGTTGGTTGGTATCTATGTACTCACAAAATACAGGTGTGCAGAGATAAACAAGTGTGTAACCAGTGGCGTATCACAAAAAATATAAAAAATTTCTAATGCATATTTTTTCTTTATCTTTGGAAAAATGCTTTTTAATAGTATATTAAAGTACAAGTTGCAGAAGGCCACATATTCTCGCACGAATTCGAAATTTGGCCTCGAGCGACGAAGGAGCGAGTGGACGAACGAATGAGTGCGAGAATAGCCTTCTGCAACGTGTGATTTATACTATTTTCTCGATTTTAACTTTTATTTAGGTTTTTTTAATTGTTTTGTGGTCGTTGTTAGTTGGGGGATTTTTCTCGCAAAATGTCAGTTGGCAACACAAAATGACAATATTTGTTATCTTGGACACTTTTTCACATTAAACTTAAAATTTTGCATTAAAATGCATTGTTGGAGCAAACTTAATATTACAAAACAATAATAAAGGCTTCATTTTCAATAAAAGTGTAGTTCAGGTTGCACTAGTGCAGGATAACAAGCAAAGCTATTATAAATAATCCTAAAAGTAATGAATTTGAGGTTATTAAACAGTTTGACATTTTGGGGGTACCAATACTTAAAAACAAAATGTTACCAAAAATCGTTTAAGAATGAGCTTCATTCTTCAACGATTTTGCGTGCTAGAATATGACATTCTTACATAAAAATCGAGAAAATATTTTTCCTTTATTCCTTATGTCAAAAGGTATTCAGTATTTTAATATATAACATTAATTACATAACACCCTGTATATAATCGAAGAATTTTTATCGATAACTATCATTAATTTAAAAAATTATCGATAAATATCGATAACAATTTTATCGATAATAATTGATAACTATTGATACATTTAAAATCCCTACTACGAGGTGACCACCATGGAGGAGGCGAGCAAGGAAGGCCAGATCTTCGTGACCACGACGGGAAACAAGGACATCATCGGCGCCCAGCATTTCGTCAACATGCGCAACGACAGCATCGTCTGCAACATCGGCCATTTTGACTGCGAGCTGGACGTCAGCTGGCTGGAGAAGAACTGCGTCGAAAAGTCCAACATCAAGCCCCAAGTGGACCGCTACAAGCTCAAGAACGGCAACCACATCATCTGCTTGGCGGAAGGCAGGTTGGTAGAGATGCGACTTGAAAAAAAACTGGCCGTTTTTTTTGTTTTTTTTTCATTGTTTTTTTTCAAATGGTTTTTTTTCACATTTTAGGTTTTTTTTCAATATTACAGGGCTCCCACACTTCCTAAAATTTGGCTTAAATCTTGAAAACTCCTAAAATTCTCCTTAAATGGCATTCAATTTCCTAAAAATCCTAAAAATTAAATTTAAATAGGCCAACCTGACTTGTGTTTAATTAAGATGGTGCTAAAAAAATTCTTTTTTAAAAAGTAATTTAAAAATATATATTTTTAGGTCCTCTTTTATTAAATTCTTTTTAAAATGATATAATAACACAACCAAAATTTTTCTTAAAAACCAACAAAAAACTTCTACAAAATTGTCATTTTTAGCGATATTTCGTTTTTTTAGTCAAAAATATACCGTGTTATATACCAAACAAAAGGATTTTTAATTTTCTTTTAAATGACAGCTAAAATAGTAAACAATCTAAAGAATGTTTTGCTGTATTTTGCAAACTTCATATTTTGTTATGAGATTTTTAAGTATTAAGATCCACATTACAAATAAATCGGTGAAAATAAGAACAAAACAAGTCCAAAAATTTAATTTTGACAATTTATTTTCTAAAATCAATTATAAAGTTTAAAATACATTTTTGTTAAAAGATATGAATTATTTTACAGAATATGAATATTATATTTCATGAAATAGTTAAAATATTCTAACAAAAATGAATTTAGAACTATAAAACTGATTTTTTTAAATATTTTATCAAAAATTTTACTTTTGGACTTATACTATTCTTAATCTTACCGATTTAATTACTGTTAGTTATTAACTAAACGGTTAAAATATTTTTTCTTAAAATATAAATATAACATTCTAAAAAAAAAATTATTATTATAAAAAAACTCGTCGAGTGATTTGGCTAAAAATCTAGTCAATATAACTTATTTTTACAAAATAAGTATTAATTGTTTTCTTATTTTTTAAGTAGTAAAGAGTTGTTTTTATTTAATTAAAGAAATTCATTTCCCAACTTTATTTATCCTAAAATTTTACAAAAAAACCTCCTAAATTCCTAAATAAAATTTGTAATTTAGCCGTGGGAGCCCTGATATTAGTCCCATTTGCCTAATTTTTTGTTTCCAGTCCAGGTCATGGACTAAAATTAGTCACTAAATGACAATTAGTAAATGTAAATACAGTCTCACGCTATGCACGCGCCACCACCACCGAATTGACCAATAAGGGCCGCACTTGATTTTTCAAAAAGCTACCAAAAGCACTTTTTTCATGATTTTCCAAACTCATGTAGAGTATGGATTTTTTTTTTAAAACAATAGCAAATTCTTGTAGAACATTTATTCATTGGTGGTTAAGTCAGAACATTCCGTGGACCAGAAAGCAAAAAAAATTCGATTTTTTTTATTACGGTATTCGTTAGGATTGTGCGTTGCACGTTTTTCATCTAAGCTTTTTTTACGACCATTTTTAACAAAGATCCCAAGAATCGCAAAACATTTTTTTATCCTTTAATTTTTTGTTTGTTTGTTTAATTTTTTGTATTTTTTATCCTTTAATTTTTTGTATTATTATACATATATATAAATAATAAGAAATCAGATTTTTTAGTCTCAGTCAAAATTTTCAATAATGAAAAATTTAATATATTCTACATTTCACTTTATTATTAATATATATTTTACTCAAAATTTCATTTTGAAAAAAAACAAAAAAACCGTTTTTCATGTTTTTTTTCACATCTGAAAAAAAACCGTTTTTTTACATCTCTACAGGTTGGTGAACTTGGGCTGCGCCAACGGGCACCCTTCCTTCGTCATGTCCAACTCCTTCACCAACCAGGCTCTGGCCCAGATCGAGCTGTGGCAGAACCCGGGGAAGTACCCGGTTGGCGTTCACATCCTCCCCAAGACTCTGGATGAGGAGGTGGCCAGACTGCACTTGGACCAAATTGGAGTGAAACTCACCAAACTCACCAAAGAGCAGTCTTCTTACATTGGAGTGCCAATTGAGGGGCCTTTCAAGCCCGATCACTACAGATATTGAGTTGTTTTGCGTTTTGTTTTTTTCAATAAAGTTTTAAAAAATATAAATGTTTTATTTGTGTTTTTAGGTTTTTGGGTTGAAGGTAAAGCATGAAAACAAAGTGAAAGAAGGTTTTCAAGAGTTTTTAATTTGACTTAATTATTTATTTCCGTTTCCAGATTTTTTCCTTTTGCTATTTCAGAGTTTCAAGTTGAATCGTACGAAATTTTCTTCTAGCTATGGTAAAAAACTAAATCATAAAGTGGCCATATAAAATTAAAATGCATTATAAACACAGGGTTTATTATTTATAAGAATTAATCCAATCCAGAAAAACAGATCTCAGGTTAAAGGATTAACTGTAATCATTATTCAATAAATTAAAATAAAAACTATTGCATAATATTTGTTTTTTTCGTGAATAATAATAAATATTATAAAATCCCCGCCTAACAACGGAAGCAATTAACTTATTTTTCACGTTGTTAGGCTTCAGTGATTGGCCGATTTCAATATTCACTGTGATTTGAACCAATCGGGTTTTAAATTGGTAGACGGCGACTAAAATATCATATAAAATTGGTAAGAAGTGGGGTTAACCATTTGACAGATGTCAGATTTTGTTTCATTATTTGTGAAAATCATTTAATTAGGTATATATTAGTCGGTTATACGCATTATCTCTCGTATAATAATATACTATTAATGGCAGTTAAATCTTAATAAAAATTCAGTAAATAGTAATTCTGTGTTAAGTTGAAATTATCAAGTTTGCCACATTTTGTCAGGTTTGACGTATGACATTAGCTGGCCATACACAGACGTTATTTCGCGCGGTTTATCGTGTTATCTGCAAAATCATATGGAAAATCATGTACGTGAGTGAGTATCGCCTCGCGCAATGATATAACGGAAAGGTATTTCAGACGTGCTTTTCTCTGGATTGTGGCGTACATCATTTCAGCAGTGTCCACACGCCACTTTCCGCGTCACGTGACACTTTTTGCCCACTCACATACGATTTTTCCTTTGAAACTGATATACTACGAGCAATCAATTGCTAAATCATTTATACTTTATCAAGTGTATGGAACATGACGCTTTTTTTGCCATGCCGTTCTTTCGTGCATACTAACCGCTACATCCCAACACGCCACGATAAACCGCGCGAAATAACGTTTGTGTATGGCCAGCTATTAAATGTCTAAACTATTAACTAGAGTGTTTATTTCAATTCACTTAAATAATCTATAATATAACAAATTTTGTTATATTATAGATTATTTAAGTGAATTGAAATAAACACTCTAGTTAATAGTTTAGATTATATTAATTATTATTAAGTTATTTAGGTAAATTCATTAAAAAAAAACAATGATAAATGGTCCTTAGTATTGCATAACCTAGTTCGAAAAAAATTTAGTACCCACCTAAGTAGTCTAAAAATTAAAATGAATTAGAAAAAAAATTGTTTAAAATCTTAAAATTGTGAAATGTAAAGTTTTATAATATCTTGTCAGTTTTTTAACCATTAACATTTAAACAATTTCAAATTTTTGACAAAAAACTTGTGCAAGAATTTATTATAAAACAACAAATAAATCAATTTCCTGGGTTTAGGCAATTCGTTTTCAACATGTGTATTGTCAATTGCATAAACAAAGTACGTAGAGAACCCTGATTTATCTCTGATTTAACGGAAATCTTTTAATTTCTATGCTTCTAAAATATAGAAGCATTTTAGAAAAATAAAATATAGTTGCAATGTTCAGTTGTATTTATTGAGATGGAATTAATATATAATGTTTTATCAATACTATTTTAGTATTTTTTTATTTTAATTTAATAAAATATATTTAGTATGTAGGTATTTATTTTAAAAAAATTAGCAATTATACCTAATGCAATAAATATATATATATTTTTTGTATACTATATATATATATTTTCTGTATACTTCTATATTTTTTAGTCAATTCTTCTATTTACAGCATTTTGATTTCTGGCAACAACAAGGCACTAAAAACCATGGTACAAAAAATTTACGTAAACAGCGGTTATGTATAAAAGCGACATCTTCTTCAAGGTAGCTACACTAAAAGAACTAAGCTTGCAAGATTTGTTTTTGTATTTTTATCCCTCTTTATATTCTTTTTCTATGCTCTTGTCAAATCGCTTATTTCATAAAATGTAAATTTTATTCAAAAACCTAGTTATATGCACCAAAATGAGTAATTTGGACTTTCGTTATGACCAGCAACACACATGTTTTTGCATATGTCAATAATATTGGGGGTCAAATTAAAAAACCCAAATTCAATGAGGGATAATTAACGGCTATTTTCCGGAAAAAGACCTACTTAAATACAGTGTGTGGATATTGAAACCAATATTTACCTACGTAATGTAGGCTACCTACATAGGAATGCATTCGGACAACCGAAATAAAAAAATGTATCCGGATGTCAATACTAATATCTACATTTTCATGCATTAAGTAATTAGGCATTTATAAACGAATTTCTTAATTTGCATAAATAAAATCAATATGTATGTTTTTCATTTAATTACCTTTTAACTTAAAATAATTGTTCTGTTTTTAAATGAAATAAAGTAACTAGGTAACGTATTTCTACTTTGCAATGCACCCTTGGAGCAAATTGTAGATAGGTACCCAGGTAAAAATAATAGCTACCTGGATGTGGTATTTCTAAAAATGCAATAAGTAAGTAGCGAAATATTATGTACTTACCTATCAAGTTCGATAAATACATTACGTATAACCAGGGTCGTGCGGAAGATTTTCTCTTGGGGGGGGTTATCATTAAATTGTTATACATACATATACAGTGTGACCCATTTGTTTGCGACTCACCCCTGTAAAATCTATTTATTGTGCGATTTTAACCGGATTTGTTTTAAAGTGTAGATCTTGATAAACTGTATTTTTGGAGCAAAAGACGCCATATTAGTACAAAATACAAGGCCTACTATGTCAGTTTTTAAGAGTGAATTTTTATGAATTCATACTAATTAGCAATTTTTTACCATTTTAAATTTTTATTTTTCCTTGAACCAAAATCTTGGATACCTATTTAAAATAAATTTTGAAAATTGTCGATAAACTTTAGTGAATTATGAATTCCTGCTTAAAACTAACTTCAGCCCGTGACTAAAAGGCCATAAAGTCACAACTTGTCAATGTGTGGGGCGTTTTAAAGGTGGAAGTAGCCAAACCAAATATATAATATTGAAGACCTCCTATAGGAGGTGTATACACCGTTAAAAATTTCTATTGTAATTTTACTAAACATGTTTAGGATGTTTTTACGCACCACAATATAGTAATAATAAAACTCATTTTGGTAAATTCGCTACACGATTCATTACAACTCAATTTGGGAAAATTACAAGACGTTTGTTGAAATTCACTATGCTTATAAGCATACCTATATTAAAAATTTGTTCAGTAACATTACTATACAAGTATTGTAATTTTGCTAAAAGAATTCTCGTATTTAAATACTAAATATGTTTAGTAATTTTGAAATGGTGTATTGTAATTATACTATGCAATCCATTTCAACTCAGTTTAAGAAAATTACAAAATATATTTTAGAATTTTCCGAAACTGAAGAAAATTCTTTTCGCAATAATTCAATACAAATATTGTTATTTTTTACAACAAATTACACTAAAAATATTAAGTAGTTTACGAATGATTGTTTTGTAATTATACTACGAAAAAAAAACCCTGCAATTTTATTAGTTTCTTTAAGAAACTCACTTGACCCATTACTGAAAAAAATTAAAAAAATTGAACCTTCACCTCGCCAGAGTTTTTGTTTTAAGTGCGTTCCACCAACTTCAAATACCGACAGACAGCTGGACAGATAGACCTATTTTGGGTCTTATCAATATCGGGCAATTTGGTGTATTTGGATCATGCCAAAAACGAAAGACACCTGAGCTTATATACTGTCCACCTAAGTCAACCGAGGCGAGATGTAAGAACATCACGTGATTGCCGCAATCGGTACATACTATAGTATTGCTTATATGGGTTATTCTCAAAATAACTACAATCTTTGCGTGACGTGTGTTTTTTCTCCCATATTAAAAAAAATGGTAAAAATAAGTAACATTTTTAAAGTACACAACGTTAACTTTAAGTAAAAAAAAATAAGAAAAAAAAATACCGCCCAAAAAACTGATCTGAATAGAGATATTGTCCTTTCCGTGGAACGTGACTATATCGTGTTGGTAAGTTTCAGTTAATGTAGTGAAAAGCCTGCATATTAAAAAAACCTAAAAAATTGCCATTATTATTAAATACCCCAAAAATACATAGATATGGTTCATATTCCTTTTTATTCTTTTTAATTTAATATTGTAGTTTAGTCATTTATACGTTACCAGTTTCGATCCATTCCGAGGATTTATTTGTAAGTGCAAAATTTCAAAAGTATTTCGCGCCACTCACGTCAACCGTTAATTTTATGACATTAAAAAACCTGTCATTTGTTATTTAAGTCGCCCTTGTCAGTTCTTTTTTGAAAGGTTGTAAAGAAGCGTTCATGTTTATGTACGAGGCTCCAGTGTAGAAGCATAGGCTGTCCTTTCTGTTACAATTATATTTCAAACAGTAAGTATTGAATTATTTTCTAATTATTGTCATTATTATTGTCAAAGTTTTTATTTTTGGCACATGACAAATGCGAAGGCATAACCTAAAATTTACCTATAGAGAATAATATACATAACATAGATGTCCATTCAGTGGACGTCTTTTCTGTGGACATAATTTACCCATAAATAGAAAAATTAAGGTTTGCATGCAATATCCATCTTATTTTAGTTTAGGATTTAACTAAAGCTTTACAAAAATGCTCTTGTAATAATATTACCAAACTTTTTAGTATTAAAAAAATAATAAACCGAAAGTGTAGTTATTTTGAGAATCACCCATATGCATTTTACATAACATTATACCAAATCAAATTACAAACGACGTTTGTAAATCTGAGATGCTTTTAATTAGAAACTTTTAAACTGTTTAGTATACAATGAGT